CTTCAGCCACCAGGGACGGTAAGAGCATCAGTCTGCTGCCTGTGTCAAGAGATTTACCCTAACTTGAGTGAACCAGTTACCGTATGACACCTTCACATTGCAGGAGGGTTTGTGGTGACAACGTCACCCAGGAGTGTGTTGGCAACGTCACCCAGGAGTGAGTGTGTTGACAACATCACCCAGGAGTGTGTGTGTTGACATCACCCAGGAGTGTGTGTGTTGACATCACCCAGGAGTGTATGTTGACATCACCCAGGAGTGTGTGTGTTGACATCACCCAGGAGTGTGTGTTGACATCACCCAGGAGTGTGTTGACATCACCCAGGAGTATTTGTGTTGACATCACCCAGGAATGTGTGTGTTGACATCACCCAGGAGTGTGTGTGTTGACATCACCCAGGAGTGTGTGTTGACATCACCCAGGAGTGTGTGTGTTGACATCACCCAGGAGTGTGTGTGTTGACATCACCCAGGGGTGTGTGTGTGTGTGTGTGTGTGTGTGTGTTGACAACATCTCCCACGGTGTTACAGTACACATCACCATAGTTACAGCGTCATACAGTATACAGCTTCATAGGTCCTGAACTATAGTTTGTGTGTCGTTCTGACACAGGTGTCAGACTACAACACGGTCATCACACTCCTGCAAAGACCAGTTGATGACGTGGTAATGTAATTAATGTTTCAGTTGAGGTTACTAGACACTCGCGCTGGTGGACATGTTTGGCTTAAAATTATGACACCATCCTGACTGTTCCTTGTTAATTCACATTTATGCCTGGACTCTGATCTTGTTTAGAAATTTCTCCTTGGGCACATTATCAAGTTTATTCATTTTTAAATCACTTAAAAGTACATTGTAAGATCTTCATGTTTAAGTAATTGTTTCTCACACTTAACGCTTTCTTTGTCCATGATCTTGGCCACAAACTCCAGTGTGTGGTCGTATGGTAAAGCCTGGGGCCAAACACTGACAAATTGATTAAAGGTGTAGCTGTGAAGTGCCTCGTTTCGCTGCCTCCAATCATTGTGGTTTCCTCCCGGGCCTGACAGTCGTGTACCAGGGGTTTGCTCTTTGGCATCTGTCTTCCACCTCTTTTTACTTAATATGTTGTAGCCCATGAGCCGTCGTTGCCATAGTTGATAGTGTCATTAGTTTAAGTGCCTCCCCTACAGTGCCTAACAGAAAACAGACCGACCACCTGACAAGTGGCGGAGAGGATAATAAGTGTTAGATTCACTAAAGCACTTCGCTCTGTCATGGGTAGCGGAAGTTCTCACGTATGCAGACAGACTTGCCATAGATCAACTCTGTGTACTACACGCTTCAACCTTGAGAGAAGATAACGTAAAAGGTGCTGGGGTCCGCTGGGCATCACTGTCAGCTGAAGTGTTGGTGGTACACTGGTAGCGAGTGAATTTGCCTCTTACTCGTGCAGCTCGGGCTTGTTCCCAGCTTAGGTCGGAGGTAACCCAGCAAAACATAGATTTCCTCCGGGCACTAAGTTTCTTTCTGCTCTAACAACACTGGACCACTGCAGGATAGCCGTCATTGGATATCTCAGGAGATAAGTCTTTTATAAACTTACATATCTAGCCAAAACTGTATCTGTATAATATCTCGACGCCTTGTTATAAAATCAATATGAAGAAAATTTTAAGATGTACTCTGTGAATTTTATTTTATTGGGTTTAATTTCTTCACCGAGTTGCAGCACAATCTCTCCCTCTCTTGTAATTAGTCGACAGGGGTGAAGGCCCAAACTGTACTGCTCGTTCTGTCACCTACAGTACTGGTCACGCGTTTCTCGACTGGCGCCTCGTTACGTGTTCGTCCTTATTTATCATTTCGCCACTTATCAGCTTACTAGCCGTTCGGTCGGTTGGTCTTCCCACTGTTAGAACAGGAGGAAACCTGTGAGAGATACGCGCGTTAATATATACTGTTACGACCCTCCTCCTTCACCGCTTACCCAGCTTCCACCATTGGTTACCAGCGACTAGGGTTGTATATACAGAAGCAGTAGATATCTCGAGTGTTGTCGAATTACCACTGGCTGTCCCGCCAGTCTCCAGTAATTTCCAGACGGTGGGTATCAGTGTACAGACAAACAACAAGCAGGTAGATTTCCACCAGGTCACAGAAACACACTTGTGCACTATAGTCTCCTTTAATAAGCACTTATTCTTCACAACACTGCTCACAGAGTAATGTCTTCACAGCTTGACTCCACACTTCAAATATATAGTCAGCACACTACCGGTTTACAATTCCTTAGTCTTCTCACTTTATATTAATCTCAACAATTTCACAATACTTGCACAACAATAATTTGTCTTCCGTTGTTCTGCTAAGCTTATTCTTTACACTATGAACAGAAGTGATCGACTGACTGTTGGTGATGAGACGGAGAGAAGAGAGCCGTTTGCTCTGAAAATGGAAGACGGTGTAGGAGGAAGGCAAAGTTAGGAAGTGGGAAATAAAGTTGGAGATTTGATAGCAGATTGGCTATCCACCTTGCGGGGGAAGGGCCGCTCGCGGCCTCTTGTACAGTGTATGGTTAGTCAGACGCCAAGAGCATTCTTACGATGTCCAGACGCAGGAGGTCGGCTCGAGACCCGCCTCGAGTTTTCTAGAATGATCTAGGATTTTAGGCTTACAATAAGATGTAAATCCTAACAAAAATTATGCAATACATTCTAGAATATTCTTACATAATTAATACATCAATATATACACGAAAAGTTTACAAAATTTCACGAAATATCTGTTGCTTGGGATAGAAAACAATGAAAACACTTAGTTTACAAAATTGTAATACCAAATTATGCCTCGGAATAACAATACCTTGCGTAGATCTAAGTACCTGTACTGCTGTTACATTATTATAAGGTTGTATTGGTGTATATGTACTAAGTTGTTACACTGGAAACAATACATATATTAAGTTATGATGCCGGTATAATAAACAAAGTTGTACTGGTATAATACTTGGGAAGTTTGGTTGTTCTGGTATGATAATGGTGTGTTGTGGGTATAATGGCATGGACTAAAGGTATTATTAAAATAAGGTCTTCAGGATATCAGCGTGACCCTTGATCTCCCAGAGTTGGTCAAGTCTACAAGTTCATGAATATTATGTGATGTGTACGTGTGCAAGACCTCCAGCTGTGAATTATATACGAGATTTCCAGGAACACGGTATCGTAGGCCTTTCCCTCTGATGTAAGTAGGTTCGTGGTGTCGGTGGAGGTCAACGTACACCTTTCTAGTTTTAGGATAATATTATCAGCTGTTAGTTACTTATGAACTTTGAGGTTGATCATGACCCAAAATCTAGTGCTAAGGTGTGTGGTGCAAGAGATATGGGACACACGAGTGAACGATACACCAAGGGCAACACCGTCAATTTCAATTGTTTATTCCTTGATAGAGGAAGCGGGATCCTAGTGCTGTCACTAGGTACCCCTGTACAATGACACCAGAAGCATCTGGCAAGTGTGACAAGTATATACAGTATAAATATTATAAAGGGGCTTACTAAAGCCTAAGGAAGGAAGGATATTCCTTTAACACATAATCAATATTATTTACAAAATATCTGGCCAGTATGGGGAGGATCATCGTGTCTCCGTCAGGGGGTCGTGGAGTGGCAACACCGTCTTGGGTATTATGTACTGGAATCAACAAGAATATGAATTCCAGAACAAGGAACATTTTGCTCTATAGTAAATCCATGTACAGTATATCACTCTTAACAGTATTACACACACACACACATCATATATATAAATATGAATAAATAAATATTTATATATATATATATATATATATATATATATATATAATATATATATATATATATATATATATATATATATATATATATATATATATATATATAAAACACCGAGTTAATGTCTTTATTTTGCATACTTTATATACTGTGTACTGATCTATCTCTGAGGCTTATTGTACAGTAGGTTCGGGCCTTTATGTACTGTATTAATTTGTACCTTTTAGTACTGCTGTAGTGGGTATACTAGTACCCTGTTACTTTTTCAAGTTAAAACAGAGGTGACAAAAAAACTTTTCGTGGTTATATATTTGTATTTCTATAAATTACTTAACAGTTCTTCCTTCCCATCTTTAGCCGACTTTTCATGAATAAAGGTCATTCATAAAATAATAAGAAACTGATATAACTAACACAAAGAGGAGCACTAGCTGGGAAACCTTTTAATACTAACTCAAGTTCTGAATAAATCAAAACATTATACTGTACTGTACTTCATTATATGAGAAGTGTGTCTGCAATCACACGCCAACAAATCCATTTTGTGACTCGTGAATCTAAATCCTGTTACCATTAATACTGATGAAACAAAAAAAATGCATGTATTTAAAGCAATTCTGGTCACACTCCTACAGCCAAGTTTACTTGTACCATAATACCTGTAGTTACATGCAGAAGAGTTTTGCTCCGAATCCAGGTAAAACGTCAACAATGTAGAATCACATTTCTCTCTAACCTTATACACTCAGTCTAAGGTGTTAAAAGAAGGAACTTGTCGAGAAGCTTCCTAAAACAGATAAAACATCAAGTTAAAAGAGTGTGTGTAGATTTATGGTAATTCCTTTAACCTCCACTACCTCCTCCGGGTAAAACGTCAACATAAACAATGTAGAATCACATTTCCCTCTAGTATACATTTCTTGCACTGTGTACTACTTAATAACATTTGTGTTTAATATTCTTTGGTGGAATTAACTTGTTTTGTTTTTAGTGAAATAAACCGAACTAGAATATCTTTGCTGTATAACAACATTCTTACTTATCTTAGTACAATAACTAATACACACTATATTGAACTTTTTAGTTAAACATGGTCTCTATACATACATACATACGCACACATTTTATATATATATATATATATATATATATATATATATATATATATATATATATATATATATATATATATATATATATATATTAAGGTACTGCGTTGGGTTTCCTCAAAATTTGAAAAAAGACTTCCATTTGTTGTTTCATCATCTCCATTGTCTCGAGGACTTGCACAGCCTTCTCTAGCTCATCGTTGCTCGACTTTATGAGGGACATCACCACCTGACTCCTCTCCTGGTCAATGTTGTTCATCTGGGCTTCCGCGTCATTTAGAATGTCACTAATCTAGAGAATACCAACAGTAAGATGAGGTTAAGACCTTATACTTGACAAACTCTAATGTTAAGATATCATCTGTCATTTGATTTGGCCTCCGTGTCACGAGAAGGGCTAAAATAATACAGGTTGACACAAGGCAATTATTTTGTTAGTGCAATACTCATCAGTCTTCTGAAAATATGTGATGTTATTTATCAATGGAGCAACAAGTGAAATGATAGTCACGGGTATACATGACAATTTCATGCCATTAATCACCACACATTGCTTGCGGTAATGAAGAAGTCCTGATCCAGACGTTCCCCCGTATTCAGTACTCTTTGCACCCTTGCATGTATACATAAGCATCCAGCCAGTTTCTGAATAGCGAAAGTAAGTGAAATCACTATGGCCCCAGTCACAGCGTGTTATCACTGTAAGTAAATAACTATACAAAAACAAGGAACAGACTGGTTAAGAATTATTACCTTCTGGGTGATACTGTTCTCAATATTGGTCAACAGAGAACAATACTTGTCTTGCACCTCACTGATCTGCATCACAAACTGTTCTGTTTCTTTGGATACGTTTTCTAAATCGCTGAGTCCTTTGCCCTGTAACTAAAAAATGAAAAGCAATTTGAAGACATGATTGAAAACATAGCATTTGATTCTATAGGCAGAATTATATAAACGAACCCTTGGGCCTTCGACTAAGAAAATGAAAAGCAAATTGAATAAAGTTATCTGGAAATAACTAGTAATACATTTGACGACATGATTGAATACATGAGTCTAGGAAAATAAGCCAGAAAAATCGCCTAACCTAACCCCACCTAGCCAAGCCAAAACGGATAGTCACAATCTGAGCCCATAACGGATATACAGGAGACTGGCTACTGCGTCATATCCTATCTATGTGCTTCCCAATAATGAAGGTAATAAGGTTTGCCTTACCAAGATGTGGTCGCCGTCAATCTTGACCTCTGGTTCAATATTGGTATTGCACGCATTAATTAGCAATGACCTGTATTTAGAAGATCTTTCATAGGACTCCGAGGCCTGGTTGAGGGACTCGTCAATATTCTTAAGGACTGTATGAAGACGCTCATTTCTTCCCTCAAAGTATGTTTCGATATTAAGTCGAATGTCCTCGCTCACGTGTTTGACCTGTACGGGGTAAATTGATGTAAGAAAATATAGTATTCATCATTATCATAATTCTGGAAAGGGAGAGGACAAAAGCAAGACAAGACGTGTGACTTATGTTTTATGAATATTTTGGCCACGCCATCAGACTTGTACAATACGCTGAAAGTATAATTCTTGTGTGCTTACCATATGTTTGAAAATATTACAACCCAACAAAAGATTCGCAACACCAAACATATCAATACCATTCATATATTACTACTGTAGAGGAACCTGGTATGACTCCTTACCAAAATTTCTAGAATAGTCTTGTGTATTTGTTGGAGGTAAAGTTTTTTCTTCTTTTGCCTTTGTTGGAACACATTTAATGCCTCCTGCACTTGTTCCCTCAGTTCCTCTACTTTGTCCATTGTAGTTTACTGAAAAAAAAACTTTGTAGTCCGATTTCATGCTAAACAAAACCAAAAAATATACAGCTTACAATACAAAATAACAATCAACAGCCCCCCACGCGATGACTAAGCTAATAATACACTCACTACACCTGTCTCTCGTTAGTTTTTTTTTTTTTTCAAGTCCAAGCCTTTAAAATAATATGATAAATTGGGTAAACTCAAATTCAAATGCAGTCAAAATATCTTGTCGTTGTGGGTCACCAAGAAAGAGTCCGCAGGAACGCGTACAGCTACCCACCACTACCTTGCAGAATTTACCCTTAAAGACTCCTTGCACTGACGTCATAGAAAACGTTGCTATCCACCAAAGTTGCTATTGTGCAAGCGTCGGTGAGTGAGGCTATAAATGAAGTGGCAAATACTAACATTTAAGAAAATATATAAGTTAGACATTTGGACCCTCAGGATCCGTTCAAAATTACCTTCATATGGGTTATTTAAAAGACAATTATTATGTTTACTCCTGTAGGGGTATGAGATATTGGTTCACGAATCCACTACACTCCGTCCTCCCCAACTCATTTCCTCGGATTCAGTCTAAATTCCTAGGAGTCCAACCAAGACTCGAAATTATAATGCCGATAACTTTCCTGGAAAAAAAATATTATTATTTTGATATTGTACTCTGCATAGCCTAATTCCGGCTAAATAAACCAAAATGTATAAAACAACACTAAATATTTAATTAAAGTTTTGTGGCACAAGGCCGTTCAGAATCCCATTTTAAGCCACCACCAATTTTGACTTTCAAAATATGAAAATATCTATAAACGGGGGCGTTCGAGAGCTTCTAACCAAATACGTAATAGACCGCCTAAGCGGCTAACAAGCCGATCAGTGGCGAAGAAGATAAAGTAAAGGATTATATTTGTCTAATCCCCGCGTTGTTCCTGACGAGTTTGTCCTTCATTCATTGTCCGGTTTTTGCACAGAAGGAAACGCCCGTCTGTTTTCTATTGTCTTGGGTTCGAGTCCTGGCACGGGACAAGAGGATAACATGAATTGAATTAAATTGAAACAGGATGCTATTCAGTGGCATTACCAAACATAACAGATTTCCTCCTGTACCAACACTGATCAATAACAATAAAGATCACAAGGAACATACCAATGAACGGGTTAGTAAACTGATAAGTGGTGAAATGATAAATTATAACCATATTTACAATACGGTCCTTGCTAATTGGGTATTAAAAAAAAGTTGTTTTTGCATTATATAACAAACTGGGGTTACAACCAACACTCTCAACTCTACAACTTAGACCAACTTTACAGAATTACCTGAAGATTCATATAAAATAATCCCAATGTAATTTTACGGAATAATTCACCTTTACTCACCAATATATTCGTAAACCTTAAGTTGGCGCCACCACTTGAACTGTCATATGACATTATAGACGAATTAGTGTATATTAACGCCCCTTAAATAGGATCCAAATGCTTATATAGAGGAGTCTTATGTCAAATATAAAGGATTAGAGCAATTTTATAAAGTTATAGGAAAAGGATCGAGTTAAAATGTTTATTGGGTTTAATCATCTATACTCTGGGAGGACAACAATCAGCTGATCAGACATCGACGACGCAACTTATTCACGTTTTTCAGAATTTTCCGCCCCTGTGATGGTAAGATTTAGTTATTTATACCGTCATGTCTATCATTTATCTTTAATTCATGATAGGTTGTCAGTTGTCTTTATTATTAGTAAATGGTGTGGTAATGTCCAGCAAGAGTTGTAGTGGTTATGGCATGTTGTAGGACCATCACTGACCCCTACACTGCTGGACCTTCCTCACGGGGTCATGAGGGATAGTGTCTGGGTCATGAGTTCATACATCTAAACACTGCATCAGACTTAAGATGGTTGATTTTCACTTTGCCAGTTATTTCCTAACATTTTTTAGCAGGCTCTTACGGCAAACATTAAGGGCAATATTTACACAGTGGATATTTTGCCCTGACTGGCCAAATTCCTACTAACGCTATTTTACCGTGATTGTGCTCTGATTGGCTGAGTAGTTTCTGTTTAATATGATGGCTCTCCACCCTCCAGCTAGGATGTTAGGTAAGGTTAGGTAGGTTTCTTTGGTTGATTAGGTCAGGTTCTAGTAAATGTTGCCTCTTGGTTATTATATTCGGTTTAGCACATCTTCAAATCGCATAGAAGCACTTACTTTAAGACAATTTCTACCTATATATATATTCCTCAACCCCTGAAGCCTCTTGGAAACGCATTTCTTTCAGAAAAATCGCACAAGTGAGGTACGCCTAAGAAATTAGATCAATAAATCTTCACCCACCATTTCTTTGTCCCACCCTGAGCTGTCTGGAGCCGTGAGGTGTATTATGCTGCCTGCCTCCGCTCCCTTCCTGAACCCACGGTTATGTGATGTTAGGTTAGGTTAATGTAGGTTAATTTAGTGAAAGTTAGCGGTCTAGAAGTTTGGTTTCTGATGTATTTGGATGTATTTTGTTCAGAACTCACCTTTGTTTTTAATGGAAAATAGCTGTTTTTGATCAAGGATGACTTAATTTTTTTTTTTAAACGATGCATTTCCCATGGAAAAGAAGGTCACATCTGAACAAAACATAAAAAATCAAACATCTCGTGAAAAAAATCGAGGGTGTGCTAAAATGAATAATTACCTGCCTCTTTTATAACAAGTTTTCATGTACAACAGAAATATGGTTAGGCATGTTTATAGCTACACAACGATCGTCTCATGGTGAAATAAATGCCAAATGTGGCCAGAGTCACGGTTAAATGTAGTTTTCACATTGTTCGCTGGTAATGGACGATTAGCCAATCAGAGCGCACTCACTGTAAAATAATGTTAGTAGGAACTTAGCCAGTCACGGCAAAATATTCACTGCCCAGTATAATTTTTAAGGATAATGGTCCTGGTTAACCAGTCACTTTAAGGGAAAAAATATATATAAGGAAACTGTATTGTTGAATTTTCAACCACTATGCAGCCTAAGGTTTTGGACTTCAAAAATTAATAGAGCTCATCGAGAACTGTCTTCTGAACTCTACTTTAACTTGTCGCAATATTTGATGGAAATCACTTTTTTGATAGTTCTCCCATTACTCAAAAATGAATGGTTTCCAACAAAAATCAATATTTAAATCGAATAAAACACATAAAAAACCACCAGAAAAACACATTGCTCAACTCAGAGCCATATTGGTTGTAAATGCAAATTTACCAGTAAACTTATTTGTTACCTCAAGAATACAGTAAGTCTGGTGGAGGAATAAAAGATTTCCTGTTCAGGCTTTTGCCTCAAGTGTTTCTCCTCAAAGAAATACACTGTACAGGTGCCACCACCTTTGTTTAACTGAGCATCAGTATGTGTTGTTGTCACTGTCAGAATGTTTCATTGACAATAAGAACATCAGGTTTCATACTAATAAGAAACAGCAGTAACATTGACTTTACCCAAAAAATCTATAGATGATGATAAACTTCTTTTTTAGATTAATAAAAATAAAAATATCCCAAAAGATGACAACAACACCTATTATTTCCAATTTCCTAATAATATTACAGTACGTGAATGTACAGGGGTCGTCATTATATGTCAGATGTTTTCCAGAGAAAAGTAACTTAGTGAAATTTTTTATAATGAGGAATTTTTCTTCGTAAGAATTGATGTAATTAGGGGTATATTTATTCCGACATATACAATACAGGGTATATAAAAAATAGTATCTGCCAGGATGGGTATGCATGGTTCTCTGGCATACTGATCCAACTATGCCAAAATAAATATATATTGCATTAGTATTTATGTTTAAACTACAGTACAGTATATACCAAAGTAAATGCATATTCCAATACCTATGATCCCTGGTCTCATTATGTTTCACACAGTGTGTGGACATACTTTTTTGAGATACTGCACAGTAATACCCCTTGAAAGCTCAGGCTGTGTTCCTGAAGAGAGAGCTTTCAGCAAACCTCAGCATACAATGGGGGGTCATTATAATATACTGTAGATATACTGTGTAGTACAGTACAGTATTTGATATGGAGATACAGTACATTCTTAATAGTGTTACTTATTACCATTGAGTAATACATGTTGGCTCAATTTGCCTACTTGTACACTGAGACAACTGATTAATGAATAAACCAGGGAATATGCACAGACACTTCATACACTACACTACAATATTATTTACTGAGTGTTAAAGACACTTCCTGTGGTAAGCACGAACCATTTTGAGCAGTGTCAACAGGGGTGCGTGAGAGAAGGAGAGCACTGGCAGCACTTTGTAAACAAGGAATTTAATACAATGCATAAACCATCTGGGGTTGAATGTAATTTTTTTTTTTGTGGGGGCGGGGAAATTTGAATATTTTATGATAATTTTTTTTAACCTGGCACTAAATAATACTGGTATGGGAATTATGGTGTAATTGCATGCTATCCTGTTAATGGAGTCGGGGGGAAAGGCAGTTGTCCAGCCACCCACCCACCCTACCTCCCATCTATACCAGGCAGAATTTGCTTTCCATTCATTTTTCTTATTTTATCATTGATTTTCTTTATTTCTAAGTCATATTAGAGCATTGAAATGATATTTCCATAACTTTTATGGTTTCTTATGAAACAATGGCAACTGTGCACCATTTGTTATGGTGATTTCTAGACTTGATATTCTGCCACACACAATACTGTATACCCCTACACTCTATTTTGTTCAAACTTTATTTCTTTATAATACTGTACAGTAGCTATACAATTATTTTTATTCATAAGGCACACTAGCACATTGAAATGACATTTCTGCAATTCTGTGGTTACTTACACTTGACATTATTTTTACAGCTGATATACCCGTACTGTGTTTTGAAATTTCAGGGCTCTACGGAAGAGGATGGAAGGAGTGGTGAGCGATGGTGGGAAAGTACCAAACTTTCTCCATCTGACCTCCGCCAGCGTTCAGAGTCGTGGAGTCTGGCCGCTGATGCTGCCACTGCGACACTTCTACAGAGCATATCACAAGTATGAGCTACGTACATAATGTCAAATTTGTCTTTGATAATGTTGAATTCTTTTTCAGTTTCACAAAGAAAATAGGAATATAATTCTGAGCTTTTGTATACTGAATTCTCAAGCTGGCTGACTGTTCTCAAGAAATTAATAATAATACGGTATTAATTTTTGTTTTTGAAGGTCTTGAAAAACACGAGCCTCCTTAACATAGCTGTGCTGAGCAAATTGTTTTGGCAAACTAGATGCCAGATTAATATTTCTAAGTTGAGTGTAGTTTGCTGCCCACAGTAAAAGTATTACAGAAGACCTCCATAATTTGTAATTTTTTTTAATATACTGTACTGTATATACAGTACAGTATACCGTATATCATTTACATCACTTACCAGCTTATTGTCAATGCTGACGGTTAATCTATCTAGCATTAGTATGGGAGGAAACCAGAGGCTGGGAAATCTGTGATGTTTGGTAGGGTCATATATCACCCACCTCACGTGTGTCCAGACCCGAACCCTCTTGACATATTCGTGAGAGATGTGTGAGTTACCGCTCTGTTACCAACACTATTAATTCGTAATTTTTCATGATTCATCTGTTTTAAAAAAAATCATAATCTTAATTTTTGCAAAGCTGAAATTCCACAAAATGAACAATTATTTAAATACACTGTACAAAATAGAGATTCGTTCCACAAGTTATATTACACAGTACGGTATATACTGTACTGCCCTAGACCCAGTTGTATCTGTACCTCACCTAGCCCTCCTTATTGGCTGAACTACTATACTGTGTACTGTACTTTAATTAGCTAGTTGCCATTCAACATTAATGTACTGTACAAAAACTCTGGTTAAAATGCAACAAAACCTGGAACCTTATCATACTTACCTTATTGGCTAAACTAAATCATTATAGTTAAACACTAATATGTATATGTACTACACTATAAACAACAACAGATGATATAAATACAACTTTGGTAAATCTTGTGTCTACTTCATCTCCACTGTGATACACAGTTATTCGATGACACTCATAAGCTTTGAGACAGACTGTGTGCACTTGGGGTATTTTATAGGCATCAGTTTACATCAGTTAGCCAATACATTTCACTAGTTTGGTATACTGTATTTTGGTTTTCTGCCTCATTATAATTACCCGGAATTATTTAAGGTGTTATGTTTATAAGTAGATTGTACAATACAGTATTTATCAAGTGTAAGTTATTTAGTATTGTTATCCTTTTACTGATATAGGAAAATCATTTGGGTGTATATTACATTTATGAAAAAGTTTGCACTTGGTAGTATTCAGGGTGTGTTATGTTGTTGCTTAAGTTAACAAGTTTATGATAATACACTGTAGTAGTGACTCTTACAGAGGTTAGTGTCACGTACTCATGAAGTGGAAGGTGCCTTGGAGAAGGTGCTGGAGGAGACGGATCGAGTGATGACAGTCATATCCAACACCAACAATGCCTTCCACATGTTGGCCAACACACAGTTCATTGAGAATAGAACCTATCAAGATGATGCTGATGTAGTGAGAGAGAAGACTCAACCTAAGGAGAAGGTGTGTATACATTATCGCTGTTTTTATGACCTTAGGACCTTAGGAGTTTTTTCATAACTAGTCTTTTTTTAGCTGACAGTACTAGGTTATGACCCCCCCCTTGCAGCTCATTGGTTCATACAGTAATTCTCAATTAATATAGTTCCTGTATATCTCAAATAAATCCACATATAACTTAAGGATACCCAGTTCTGGCTTATAATAATGCCAAATTTGATGTACATAAAGATATAACTGCTTGAAAATGTTAACTTTAAAGAAATGAGTGAAAAAATTTGAAATAAATAATATTTACAGTTGAATTCACAAACAAATTCATTCTTCTTTTAATATTTACATTTGGAGTAAATCCACTATCCTGTACTTCTTATCTTTTCACTAATTATTACATATATCAAGACAAATGACACCAAACATATTAAACAATGGATAATAAAGATCATTTTATAAAGATTAGCATCAACTGTAAACACCAAATATATTCTCTTAAAGGTGTCATTTAAGACGAACGTTACGAAGAGGTACATTACACTTGGCGGAAGGAGCCGCTCAGCTGAACCTGATAGCTAGCGATATTACTGTACATGTACATTACTCTATATACCCCAAACATAACCTTTTTTATTTAGATCACCCCTGCACTCTCCTCACCTGATGAGGTGTGTGTGGTGGCAGAATGTGGTGGTGTGTGTGTGGTGGTAGGATGTGGTAGTATGTGTGTGTGTGTGTGTGTGTGGGGTGGTTGTGGGTGCCCTGTATCATAGCAGGAAAGGGCTTGGAAGAGTAAAAAAAAAAAGGAATGGTTCTTGTCCGATTTTGAGGGAGATGCAGCTCACAGGTCATAATTAAGAATGTTAAAATTTACCACAATGTCTCCAGAATTTAAGTCATTCCTTTTCTTTTCTTCTTTTAATATTTACAAAATAAGTTAACAGAAATTTTTTCATAATATCTCAACAGCACTAATCAGGTTGCTTCAAATTCAGCACAAATATTTTTTAGTACCGTACTGCAGTGCGTACAGTCAGTTCTCCTATAACGCAGTAGTGGCGTTCTTGAAAAACATCGTGTTATAAAAAAAATTCATTGTACTAACCATTGATTTAATGGGAATTAAGGGTTGTGGGGTAGTAGGACAGATACGGGACCAACAGGGAACCCACTTTCACATTATGTGTATTGTTAGTTTCTTTGTGTTTTTTTTTAATGATCGTATTTTAGTTTATACCTTCATTCAAGAACAAATTCAAGAAAAAGGGAAAGATGCTTGTTACAGTGTGTTAATGTACGTTGCTACACGATAGAAAACAGAGCCGTGAAGGAGGGTGGAGAACGAAAATTATGAAATAATACGTAGTGGAGTGTGACTCGCTTAACAGCTTTGAATGATAAATTTGTTGAAATCCAAACCATAATAAAATGTAAATAAATTTATAAGAATGTTTTAACACTCACCACAGGAAGAGAAGATGGTTGTTTGAGACGAGTGGTGGAAGAGAAGGTGGAAGCAGTCTGATGATGGAGGTGAGGGTTCGTAAAACTTAATCACATTTTTTTTTTTTTTTTTTTTTTAAGTTATAGCTTTTCTTTGTTTTACTTTACTTCCACTACCAGAATGCTTCATGCCCTTGCCACTCATTGTAATTAAAAGCAGTAAAGTTGATACAGTACAGTATCTGTAGTAAGATAAAGCACAGTCCAAGATAACAGATGTCTGATGCATATGGAGGCGACTGCATAATAGCTTATTCCTATTCGAGTGACATAATTCTGTTTGTTCAAGCGCTTTATCTCCAAATCGTATCCGTAATGCGGGGAGAGACACGATGCATTTGCTCGTGAATGAGGGTCAGTGTTTTACCGTAGGTATTTCTATGTTATGGAGAAAATATAATTGGGAGAATTGAATGAATAATTGTTTGTAAATGTGTTCTTCAGCCAGCAGCAGGTGAGGAGGATGTGCTAACAAGATGTAAAAACGCCATTATTGATGGTCTCAGCCTTGTCAGCCGGAGCTATGAGCGCCATGAGATGCAAGATTCTGATTCAGAGGATGAAGACAGTCCTGGCAGGTTTGTTTTCTTTAAAATAGTGATGTGTGGCAGTTTTGTTTGCTGAAAATAATTGTGCTTATGTATGCATTTGTCTCAATACAGTACATATATCCTTTGCTATACGAGTCTTTGCTTATTCGAATATTCTATTCATACAACAGTACTCTATGTATATGAAAGCTAGTCTCACTTATACGAATATGGTCTTTTAAGGTAATGTACTAAATTTATATTTTATAAGTTATTTAATTTGTTAAATACTAATTTAAAGTACTGTACAGTGTACTTGTACTTAGGTGGAGTTTTTTGTTTGTGAAGCAACTTTTTTATTTTTTATTTATTTATGTTTTATTTTATTTTTTTTAGATATAATACAGTACTGTATTGGGGTTTTCTTGTCATTGGAGAATCAAACCCTATTTATCCCACACGTTATGTTATCTGCTATATGAATACTGTATTCACTTAACGAATGTTTTTCAAAGAACCTAACCCATTCATATAGCAAGGGATACCTGTACAAGAAATAATATTTGAAAATTGGTTCAAGATTAACTCGGAAGAGTAAATTTCAGTAAAACCATCTTTGTATGGATCTGCTTCTACAACTTGTGCTGCCTGAGCCAGGAAGATGCTGATGGGATGAAAACCCAACACTGATGAGTTTGGGAGGTCCTTTTTTATCAGTAGCACAGGAATAATGAAACAAGTGAAGCAAGTGGGTAAAGATATTTGAAAAGGAGTTTGTAATTTTTTGATGTTATTGGAGTTTATTGAAATTAATTTTGATAATGATTAAGATTTATACAATATTGTGAACTCATCATGTTTGAGAGTAGTATGAGTGATGGAGAGACGTGCAGGTTTGGCAAATGGTGATTAGAATGAGTTGGGTGGTGATTTAGCAGCTGTTGTTAACAGATGACAGTGGTTGATTCAAAAGAAAATTTACATTGGAAAATGACCATTAAATGAAGATGATAATGTACATATACTACTGTCATATACAGAAAATTGAGTCACATAATCAGAATTAAACGATGAAAATAAGTAGAGAAAGGAGATGAACAAATAAATATAGCTTGAATGGAGAAAATGAAACATTAATAAACTTGGAAATGGATGTGACAACAAGTGGAATAATATATGTGGATAATGCACTGTGAAGAGAGAAAATTACACGGTATGTCACAGGAGGCAAAGGTGTAAGGAGGAATTGTTGGGCTGAGATGGTTCAGGCACATGGAAAGAATGAAGGAGACCAATTGGGTCAAGAGATGCTTGAATTTGAATGACTTGGGAAGAGATTGTGCAAAATGACCTCATGGATAAAATCCCACTGATAGAGGCTACAAGAGACCATGCTGCATGGAGAGCTGCCATTGGGTAATCATGATTAACCTACACAAATATGGAAAAATATCCATAAAATAGTGGAAATGATGATGATGATGATAATGATGAGGCCTGATGAGCACATGGCATCATATAAGCTAGTGCATACCTCACCTTTCTTCCTGGATTGGTTGTGATAGCTTTGAGATGTCAAACCAGTTCATTCCTGGCAGATTTCATACAAATTTATGGGAAAATGGATGGTTTCCAGGCTACCTGGTTCTGGGCTCGGCCATAGAATGTAATTTCAGGAATTCATCTTTACTGACGGTCAGACACTATTTTATCAAGCAGCTCGAGTACCTGAAGCAAACTAGAAATAGATAAGAGGTAAAAATAAATGCTCAAACTCCTGATGTGATATTGCAATCTAAAGGAAAGTTAACCCAACTGTTATAACAGTTTACAATAGGTAAGGGACAAGGATACTATCTTTACAAACTTCCCAACATCACTCAGTCCATCAGTGCACTTACCTTGTCTGAATAATGGGTTATTAATGTACAAGCCGAAGCCCTCGTGTCTTTATATAGAAGGTCTCTGCTGCTATTCTCCTGTCAGAGTGTTGGTTGCTGTAGGGGAAGAGGATGTAATCATGCAATCATTTGGTTAGGAGAGGATTTTTTTTATTTGTCACAATTAGGTTTTAGATGAAAAGAAATATATTTATAGCTTTTCTTCTATTGCTTATTCAGTACTATAAATACTGATGAGACAGTGTTTGGCAGTGAGTGAAAATAGTGAACTTAGTTTATTATTGAGGGTCTTACCAATCTATCTCCCAACAGCCCTGTCCCGGTATATGCTCTCATCGACCCTTATGAAGGCAAGCCATTGCCCCTTATCATTGGCTCTGGAGGATTCATGGCAGATGATAAAGTTGGCCTGCAAGAAACCTCATCTAGTGAAGACAACTCCAAAATGACTCTTAGTCCAGCCGAGACAGACACCGAAGATGAGCTGGATGTAGACGATTTAACAGGTCGAAGACTGCAGAAAGACCAGCCCATTCCAGCCAGTAGTTCAAAAGCTGTGGTAAGTTGTCAAAAGCTGAGCCAGTCTGTAACTTTAATTTTTATTTCATTTTTTATTTATCAGTTTCTTTTATACAGTATGTCAAGAACGTTTCCAAGGAAAATAGGGCGCGTATAGAGTGCGATAAAAGAACGATATGGATAATAAGGGAAGTTGATCTATGATTTATGTGAATTTCAGGATGATGACAGTGATTCTGATTGGTCAGATGAGGATTTTCCTCATCCGGTAAATAATGTTACGGGAGTGGATAAGCCAAAGTCTCCACAGTCAACCAATGATGAGGGAGAAGATGAGGATGATGCAGATTTCTTTGGTCCCTCAAAAACAACACAGAGCGTAAGTATCATAGAGGAAATTTTTTTTCTAACTTTAATAGTTATACCAAACCTACCATTTCCATTTTGAAAATTTTCCCTTGTAAAAATGTTTTGAATTTTGAATTACCCATAATTAGTTGTTTTTTTTTCTCTCTCTCTCTTTTTATACAAAATTCCCATTAAATCCATGTGGTGGGTAATAATGGTGTAATGGAACAGGGACATGCTTTACATATAAGCTACACAAGAATTACGATGATCCCAATTACCTGCTGACAATTTCAGCCAGAAGGCAAACTTCTCAAAGTGTCTTACCTTAAGTCCTCCAAGTCCCATCATAGGAAGACAATGGGGTATTAGTAAGGCTACCAGAGTGATGGAATCTCCTGTGATACAATAACCCATCTAGTAAAATTCAGGGGTTATTTTCATATTGTACTTTACAGGGACATCTTGGGTATGACTTAACTCTCACCATTGAGGTATTTATTAATTTCAGCTCATAATGAATGAATATTTTGTTCACTGCAGACTTTCCTTAAACCTTTGACTTGATTTTTGTTAACCAAAACTTCACATTGATCAAGGACTGTGTTTGTATTAAGTTTGTAGATCCTGATACTGCATATGGTGGATTGATCCAGAGATCCTAGTATTACCAGACCAGGGTCAAGTAACTCCGGATCTATCCTTCCTCCCTGTAGGGTATTGAGATCACCTGCTATGGTCCTTATGACATCACCTTATAGATTATGTTACCAAATAAAAGTGGGTCAGATCTCTCCCTCTCTCTCACTGGGGTAACTTCATGCCAGTGGGTATCCTCACTGAATCTGATAGTAATTTTTTTATGTACTATTCAATATTTAGAGCCCAACCACACATATTGGGGCTTTGCTGCTGCCTAGGAACTAAACTCTATGACTCAAAGGCTGTGTAGTACTGTGTTGCTGTCTGGCTCTTATAAAACTGATTCTCTGGACCACTACTGTGTTGCTGATGCTATTATTATTATTATTATTATTATTATTATTATTATTGTTGTTGTTGTTGTTGTTTTTATTGTTAATAATAATAATAATAATAATAATATTATTATTATTATTATTATTATTATTATTGTTTTTATTATTACAGGTATTATTATTTTTATTTTGTTACTTATTAATATTAAAAATATTATTTGTGCAGCATTGTAAATGCAGTGCACCTGTATTGTTATTATTATACAATTTTCAGTACTGTAGTGTGGACTCATTAACTGATCCTCATACCCACGTACACATTTTGGTGGTGGTGAGCAGCGTGCATCCTGCCGCCTTATCTCCGCTCTTCCTCTTCACATTGACAGTTGCCATTATTTTGTTTAACCTCACCACCAATTCTGAAAATGGAAAAGTATTATTATGGTAGACATGAGTCACGGTAATTTCATGTTGAAGGTATTTAAGGAAAGTTAAGCTTATGGAGTTATTTAGGTATTTTTGGTGGTATTTTGGAGAATAAATGTTATCATTAGATAGTCGGTGTATCCTGTTCAGACTATGCAGATAAATCTGTGATACTCGGGACACAGTTGTCTCTCAGAATTACCCGTGACTGCTTGTGTCTGCTTAAGTTCCTCGTCCTTCAACATGAATCTAGTCTCAGATTGTTTCCGGTACTTGTACCTGAAGTACCAGCATAAACTGATATCAAGCGGAGACATTTTGATGGACTTTGATATTGCTATGGTTGTGATATGTGTCATGCTCTTCATCACAGCCTGGATTGGCACATATTTCAGAAAGAGTCTCAATGCTTGAGGAGGGTGCAATGTTCATCATTACTCTTGGGCTGCTGTTGCTGGTCATGCTGCTTCTCACATATGTATGTTGTCTTTATGTTCAGTACTGTATCTTGTTGTCATATTTGCTTTGTGTAAATTTCTCTCTGCAGTTAACTTTATTCTGGAAAAGATGAAGAATGGCCTTGTAATTACTTTAATTCTGTCATGATAAAAGTACATTACTGTTTTATCATCTTGGCTTGATTGAGTTTGTAAGGATATGTAATGTTTTGACCCTTTAGTGGTGTTGTTACCTCTGTGTGTGTGCGTGTGTGTTATTAACCTGGAATTTGTCACCACAGCAAGTTTCATTACTTTGTAGAGATCAGTTAGCAAGATATTATATACAGTGTAGGAATGTGTCAGCTGAGCACTCACCTCATTCCTAAGAGGGGTCACTGGTTTTCACCACAAGGCACCCTTAGTTCACCCAGCTGTAAATTGTTATCAAACTTTATAGTTAGGGAAGTGTAAACAGTCAAGTGCATTACAACAATGCATCTCAGTGTACTGAAACATTAATCTACAGTGTGCTATATCCACTCTGCCCCTAACAGACTGTCAAACCTGTGGGACTAACTTTCATATATAGAATCATTATTACTACTCATAAATGTGGATATCCTGTAAGTGTGATTCAGCCTCAACTGTTCCACTCTACCTCACTATATTGTATTGAATAATTTGTAGCTTGGCATTTAGTTTTTTCTTAAGGCAGAATACCATACTGAACAGGAGTAGTTCAAGTGATGTTGTGTGAGCAATAAACAAAGAGTTTTCTGGGCATCAGCAGAGAGATTTTTGGCATTCCAATAAAAAAAAATTATCTTGGCATTACCTTTATTTAATGTATTTTCTTTAATTAATTTTTCTGGATAAATGAGTTGAGTTATTCCAAGGTAATTTCACTGAGGTTACACTTGAGATGGTTCATTGACACACATGTAGTACATTAAGTCAATTAACTCTTTAGTTTTTTATCCAAATAATGTTGTTTTAGTCTTTCCAAAATGTAGAGATAATTTGTTGTCTATCAGCCATTGTTTGCATGACTCCAGTTCAGATAACAACTTGTTAGCTATATCATTTGGATCAATATACAGTACTGTACAACAAAAGCTTGTAAGTAACAATGGTCTTAGGATCCACAGGCTGTCGACAACGGTGTTGACTCAGTATTACGTATTTGGAACAACACTGTTTCCTGTTGACGAGATAAGATAGAGCTTGGTCCTGTTAAACACACACACACACACACACACACAGAGGAATAGATTTACTTTCTTTTGATTATTTATTGTGTTTTTGTAGTATGTGGTGAAAGGACATCAGGGAAACCCTTCAGGGGACCCAGCCGGTGGATTCTAGGCTGGGTAGTCCATATAGAGCCATTGGGTTACTTACCGGTACCTGGAGTTACAAAAGCTGTTCTGAACTATTTAATGCAATAGTTAGTGTACCAAAGTGACATACTACTGTGTTATAGTGAGAGTGGTGTGATAACAGAGCCACCCACAGGAGTTTAAGGTTCCGAAGTGAAGTTTCATACTTCAGTCCATCATTTCTCTTATACTCTACTGATAAGATTTTTAAAAGCTCTTCAACTGATGCAAATTTCTGTATACTGTAGTGTTTTATTCTCTCACTCATACTTCACATAGTTTATTATTTCATTCAACATTATTGCACTTGTTTTTTCTTTAAAGTTTTGAAGTTTTGGCACTTCTTCAACTCTCTGCTGTACTGTACTGTATAGCTGGAAACAAAGTGATATTAAAAATAACCATATAGACACTGTACTGATTTGCTTATGTGAGACTCACTTTATTAATACTGTACGAGAATATCATCTGGTTGAACTTATCTGTAACTGAAGATCCAAACATTTACAGGAAAATTAGTAACACAGACTTCATGGTAGCTGTTAAAATGTACCTAAGGAGTGCAATGGTTGAGTGAATAAAACACTCACCTCCTGTTCCAGGGGGTCATTAGTTGATTCCCATGTGCTGTCAGTACACCCAGCTGTACGGTAAATGGGTACCTAAGTTTACAACTTGGGGAAGTGAGGGCAGTCGAGTGAAGTACCAGCCATCTTGCCTCCTTGTGTACCAAAAGCTTAGTATACAGTGTGCTGAATCCACACTGTCCCTATTGAGCAGCCATGTCTATGGGACCCACTTTTCAAAATGTACTTCTTCTTTTTTCCCACATATATATACTAGAATTTAAATCACACAATGTTCCACACATGGATGAGTATAGTACATGTTGTAGTAACTTAAAACTGTCTATTCATCTTTACAGATCACTAAAAATGGGCCAAATGTTTCATCTCAAATCAGCAAGAAGCTCAATATCAATGCAGCCACAGCACACATCAGCTCAAGAGGGAGAGGTAAGTCGATTGACAAATGTTTCCATAAAATGAGATAAAGAATGCATGTGTGAAGTTTTCTTTATACCACTAGTCATGTCGTCTTTATTAATGCTTCATAGTCTCATTTCCCAGCTTTTGAGAGACATGTTCTGTTATGCAGGAGGCTGTGTGTGGTAGGACATTATTATATATTGTGAGCACATCTGGTTATTGTCAAATTTGGTAATCCAAAATAGCTGAACTGTCTTTTTGAGTTGTAGTTGTCATGAAAACACTGGGTGGTAGTATAATGGTGCTAACAGACAAGTCTGCAATGAGTTAATTGCAGAGGGAATATTTTGTCAGAAGACAATGCAAGTGAAGATAGGTGAAGGACTCTCATTAGTTTCATCTAAAAGTGTGTTTAGATGAGGTGACATAGAGCTAAAGAGTAAGGAAGGTTGAACCCTTAGACTGTGGCTATTGGAAAACTCTTAAAAGCATTTTGTATTTTTATAAAATGAAAGATGTGCATACAGAAGAAAAAGAATAAAAAATAAATCATTCACTTATGTTTATTCAGCCATGGTGGACTTGGTGGAGTGTTTAAGTAAGTGTGTGGGGGCTGAGTTTGATCCTGTTCACTCACAAGCCACATGTTCTCTTATGAACTCTCTCATGTAAAACACACAGTTTATTCAGTTGTAAGAGGAGTAAAAAGGAAGAGTAAGAGGTACAAGAACAAGTATGAGGAAGGAGGAGAAAGAGTAAGTAACTGTAAGAAGAAATATTTATATGGGTTAAAAGTTAAACAAAAGAATGTAGGATGCTTTAAATATATGGAGAGTGAGCAATCAATGACATACAGCTGCCCTGAGTGGTCTAATGATTCAGGCTGAGGCAAATGGAAATGCAAGTTCATTTGTTTGAGAGAAGTGGCAAGCTAGCTAGTGACAGCAGATTCACAGGAGGCCAAGATTGACTTCACAGCTTCATTATATTTGCTGATCTACACTGTGTGACTCACTGTGGAGGCTGCATAAACTGACACAACTTTGGCAGAAAAAGTGGAGGGAGAATTGTGAACTGATAGAGGACGGTGCTGGAAACTAAAAAATTAATATTTAATTTTTTACAGAAATGAAGAAAATGGAAGAATGAAAATAAATGTAAGGGAGCATAAAAGGTCATGTGAAAAAAGCTTATGAAGGAGGGACTGCATGGGGTAACATTATTATCACACGAGTGGAATATTACCGGTACTGTAAAGATGATTATGTCTAAAAGGGGTTTTGCCAGAGATACAGTATTGTGTTGTATAATGAGGCATAACATGTTATTACTGTGCTTTAACAACTGAAGTCTTTAATTACATAACAAGGTTAGTAATACACTACACTAGCCCAACAACAATAACAAATTATGAGAGATGAGCTCTCCTCTTCTTATGTATATTATAGATGTATTGTGGAGTAGTGTATGACAAACGGTGTCAATTGACCATATAAGTGGAGAAGACAGTGATAAACTTTCTCATTGAAGGAAAGTAAAAAAATAGGCAGTTATCAGTGACTTTCATTGATAAAAATAGAAGATTTGGACAGTTAACATTGGTTGACTCTGATGTGAATTAATGAGTTAGGCAGTTGACAGTAATGTACAGTAAAATATTTGTAGTAACTGACAGATACTTCACTGTTGTCATTTCTCACTTGACAGGCTTGGACTCTGACAGTGACGATGATGGGGATTTATTTGGCACGCGAAGGGAGTCTTCCATTCCTTCAGCTGGATTATTTGGTAACACTCAACCCCCTTCTGCATCTAGAGGAGGCAACAGTAATGATCTTTTTGGTGAACAGAATACTCACACTCCTTCAGGTGATATTTTGTAGTCTTCAGGTCATTAATAAGTAACCTTTTAGATATCTTCCTTATAATAACCCATGGCTCAACCTACCTGAGCCAGGGAGATTAGTGTGTTTTAGCATCAGGCTACACTGTCCTGTTCAACCAGTGTTAACCTCTTCCCTGGTCCCAAGGTTGCCGGATAAGAGAGGGTCAACTTTTAACACCTATTTGCTGTTATAGTCACAGTTTTAACTAAGAGTTCAGTTTACTCCTTTTGTTATACTCTGTACAATAGAGCATTAACAGCAAGTTTTGAGTGATGGATAGTATCAATATGTGAGATAATGTGTACTGGTTAAAGTAAGACTCTTTTTACACTAATTATATTCTGTGCTCCTGTAGAACCTTCAGTTGGAGTAGAAAATGTTCGAGCAATGCCTAACCCCACCAGAGCTGGGCCCCATGCTGTCAGTCGCCCTCAGAAGAGTGGCAGCAATCTGTTTGCCAGTGATACTGATGATGATGAGGGGGATCTGTTCTCCAGCAAGACTTCCTCTACCAGTAAGTACTAAATGTTACAAACTCTGATACTGTATACTGAACATAAGGGATTTACAGAGAATGATGGGGTAAGTATTCTAAGTCTAGGTAGACCCCAATTTACGAAGCTTTGGTTTAAAAAAAAATTGAAGTTACAATTTTTTGGGTTATACTTGTATTGTTTTTGCAACATCAAAAGATGCCGAGGTGCTAAAAAGCCCTAGGTTAGAAAACAAAAGGAGAAGGTTCCACTAACACACAGAACACTGGAGAAAAAAGAGAATGCTAACAGGTATATGTATATCAAACATTGTAGTGAAAACAAAACTGTATACTGTACTGTACAGGAACATAAAGTTTCCAACAACAGCTAAGATTTGCACAAAATATTTAAATCAATTCAAGAATTAAATAGAATTAAAAGAATATTGAGAAAATGGAAAATTAAAACTTGGAAAAAATATTGTGTAAGTTAGAAGTTAACTGTAGGAAAAATAAGGGAATTCTTATTTAAGTTCTTAGGTTTGTACTGGGAAAATGTTCTATACCAGATCTTCCTCTGGGTGTGTGTTATAGTAAGCTGGTTAGTGCCTGGAAGGATGGGAATGAGGGTGATGGGTGGAAGGGAGATGAACCTCCAGGAAGCAGCTATATGTGCTTGTTTGATAAATGTAGTGTCTAGTGGTTTATGAAAGTGGATAAACTGCTGCCAGGTGAAGCTGGGTTATATGAAGCAACAAAGAAAATACAACTGTAATAGTAATAAGAAAGAATGAAAGGTAGCTGTGAGTGAGGGGAGAAGTTGTGTTGCTCTTGCTTGGAGCCACTCTACCCCACACCTGGAAAAGGGCTTCCAGGTATGAAAAAAAAAAAAATATATATATATATATATATATTTTGTTTTAGATGTGGCATCCAATCTTTAATTTTTTAGTAACTCAGAGGAGGTATATTGCATTATAAAAAAGCTGTTCTTCATATTTCAGCTAAAACTAGAAGTCAGAGTGGCAAAGCAAAGAACCAGCCTGACCAGCCAAGTACACCCTCAACCAACCTCTTCTCTAGTGATGAAGATGGGGGGCTCTTCTCCCCAGCAACACCTCACACCCAGGGTCAGTAGAATTTCCTTCATGAGTCAAAATGACTTGCTTCACTCACAGTTATTAACCTTTAACCTGTCATACCAAGAATTAATTATCTCATTTTCATGTAGACTACAGGTACAGGGGTCATTAGTGCACAGAGTACTGTACTGCAGCAAATTGCTACTGAAGTGAAATTATAGTTACTGGGGGAAAAAGTTTCAGTAGTGAAAGTATAGTCTCATTAGAGACTATAGTACTTATGAAAGGGTAAATTTTTTTTTTTAGAAACTCCATATTTAAGTACTGTACTGAGAGTAATAAGTAATTCTCCTCAAATGAAATTTATGCAAAGTGATGAAATCCAATCCCAATATTGAACTACGGTAATTATGAACAATTACCAAGTGAAATGAAAGACTTGAGTTGGCAATCATATCACTATTTACCGGTACTTACTAGCTTAATTAAATTAGATTGCAAGATAATTCTAGTTTATAAAATTCAACACTCTTTGAAAGTCTCTAGTGCATACAGTACCACCATAAGTCACACCACAACACACCTGCCACAGTTTACACTGCCGTACAATCACTGAAAAGGTCTATAAAATCTTTCCATTAAGTTTTAAGAACAGTTGGATTTCAAAATATTTGTCTCCTATTATATTAATAGGAAAGTTTGACACATCCCTGGCTACTTGTGTAAAACCTGCTGGATATCTTAAAAGACTCCTGATCTAACTTGACTGACAGAAGAGTTACTTTAGCAAAACCTTCGGAAAATATTTAACATGTACCATTCAGCTCTGAATATCAAGAGATATACATAATGAAGATAGTCATAGAAATCATATTATGTCTCACATTTATGGTAATTGAAATTACAATTTTCATATTTCAGGCACAAGTAACAACAAAGAGGATTATGAACAAAAGGATGAGCCACCACCAATACCAAGTGGAAGAAAGGTGAGTCATACCAACTTTTATGTCTTAGGTACACTATTTGCAACAAGACATAAGAAGGCCTTCCTCTCCAGTGTAAGTAATTAACTTCCTGCATGATAGGGCCTGTTTCTGTGGACACCACACCTCTTGGTTGGTATGGAATCGGAGACTTGAACTGAGAGCTCTGTAACAGTGTCTCTCCAAATGGCACTTGTTCAACCATTAAATTAGCTTGACAGTGAATATGTAGTTACTCATGAGCCAACTTTCTCAGTGCAGGTTTAAAGAACCCTTAAAATGTTTGAATCAGCTGTATATGTATTGTCTGATATGACTGGGCAATAGAAAGGAAAACTTGGTGAATCCCTCTCTATGATTTGAACTACTTGAGCCACAGTCACAGATCAAAAGTTCCATTTACAATCCATTGTCTTTCTGTGCAATAACTCTTCATCCTTATAAATGCAAATGTAGTCCCCTTTTAACCCCCACTTATCTGTGTGTGTGTGAGGGGGGGATGAGACATTAACATTGTCAAGTAGCCAACTGAACAGCTATGCGGTGATTGAATGTGCCGTTGACTGGGAAATGTGCAGACTAATGCTTTTTCTTTATTAATGCATTTAATAAAGAGTTGCCAGTTAATGGAATACCAAGCAAGAGATGGTCAAGCTGTACTGCACTGTATTACAAAAGACAAAGAACAGATGCTTGAGAAATGTGTGAGAACAGGTATGGGAGACATGTAAAGATGGGTTGATGTGTAAAGATATGCTGGAAAATATTGCTTAAAGGTGATTTTGCATATCCTTTTATATTTTAATTGTGATAAAAAAGTAGACTACAGGAAAATGTGCTAGAGATTGTTTTCCTAAGGTTTTGCTTTATCTCCATGTTATCTGTGTCCACATCTTTGTATCATATAAAAGTGTGAAATTTATTTACGGTATATTATAAATTTCTCTATACAAAAAACCCTCAACTCAATACCTGACTAATTCTTGCAAGCTCTGTCCAATATTGGGAGGATTCTGTTAATGAAAATATTCAGTAATGATAAGTCTTCTATTGAGAGGGTTTACTGTATATATATTTTTTCCTTCTTCATGTTTCAGGTTCCAGTTGGTGGCATTAACATTTTTGGTTCTGCTGTCACTTCTGCAATCCGTCGACAGCAGTCAGACTCGGAACCATCAGATGATGAAAGGTCCATTCGGGGCGGTAGCAGAAGTTCATCAGCATCTCTCACAAAACCAGAACCTCAGCCTTCTCAAGGACCTTCCCTGAAAGCAGCAAACAGTGGAAAGAACTTGGATGGTGGCGGCTTGTTTGATGAAGATGATGAAGATTTGTTTGGCAGTATAAGTAAAAAACCTGAAGCAACTTCTTTCAAAACAGTGAGTGACCAGACAAAGCCCCTCTCATCCACCTCTGTTGATAAAATGAAAGACCCAGATGAAAGAAAGAATTTGTTTAAAAATATAACTTCTGGTAACTCCCAAGGACAACAGACCGCAATAAATTCCTCCGGAGGTTTGTTCTCAGATGATGACGACGATTTATTTGGTGCACCTTTTAAAGCGGAGAAAAAATACAGTACGTTACCCACTACACCTGCAGTCAAGAGTTCGTCCTCAACTGAAAATGCTGCTGAGAGTGGAGTTATTAGTTCTGGCCCTGCTAAGAAACCCAACCCATCCCAAGATGTCCAGAAAACGTCGCCTCCAGTAAAAGTTCACGAGGTTCCCAAAGTTCCAAGCACTTCTTTGTTCAGTTCTCCCAGTGATGATGATGAAGACCTGTTCTTCCCATCCAGCTCCTCTATGACAGTTAAGTCATCTGCATTTGTGACAGAGCCGCCACCTCTCCCACCAGCTGGCACTGTCAGTTCCATTAGTGAGAACTCAGAGTCATCTATGAATCATGATGACCACCATTCATCCACCACTTCAATGCCCCAAGTAATTAAGACTCAAGAGTCACCTAAAACCATTTCAATTTCTAGTAATGACAAGTCCATTAACATGGCAGCAAACCAGAGAGAACAAGGACCACTTTCCAACAGCTTGTTTAGTTCATCAGATGATGATGATCTGTTTTCAAGTGTGTTAAAGACCACTCATGAAGATGCCACTTTAACTCAGAAACACAAAGATAGAACAGAGTCTTTCAAAACTAAAGAGGATCCACCAATTAGATCAGAGAGCATTATATCAAACACAACTGATAACACAAGTTCTCAAAAATCAAAACCAAATTTGGATATATTTGGGTCGCCAGATGATATCTTTGTTCCAAAGTCAAAACTGAAAGATAACCTTCCCACAGAAGGGACCAAACCATCACAATCTTTCAAAACTCAGACACGAGCTGAGAAATCAGATCTCTTTGCTGCCATAGACAGCGAGGATGATATATTTTCAAGTGTTTCAAACTCTTCATCAAGCGGAAAACCAGCTCCTAAGAGTGATAAAGATGGTTCAAGTCTTTTTGGATCATTTGATGATGACATTTTTGCAGATGCTCAAAAGGGATCAAAATCAGGTGATGCATCAGAACCAAAGCCACATGTAAACATGAAGGGTAAAAAGGATATATTTGATAGTTCAGCACAACCTCAACACCAAAAAGAATCACCTTCTTTAACAGTTGTAACTGCAGCAGGTCAGACAGACACTGTAATCACATCATCTGTAAGTGATAGGGATAACCCTCCAACACTGCCTGCTGAGACTGAAGGCTCCACTACCCCACTGGCTTCTGAAAGAGAATCATTTCCATCAGAGAATTTAACAAAAGTTGTTCATAAACCACCAGTAGGGGGAGTTGCTCTCTTTGGGGGAGATGAATTATCTGCTAGAATAAATAAGCAAAAATCTTTGTTGGGTGAAAGAGAAGTGAAGGATGAGAAAGTAAAAGAAGAGGGCAGTAAACCAGTGTCTGAGAAAACAGTAGTAAAGGAAGAGAAAGGTGACAGATTTAATAAAATTGGTAGTATATTTGATGGCGAGGTTGATGACAGTGACTTATTTGGTGTCACTCAAGTTAAACCTGAGAAAAATCTTTTTAGTGGATTGGGGCGAGAGAGTCCGCCTCCTCTTCCAACAACAACAGTAGAGCCTTCACCTCACTCTAATGAAAAACTGGAATCATCTTTACCTCCTCTAAAAGAACCCCAGTTGGAAAATGTGAAGCTGTCAGAAGGTGAATCAATCATAAATGCAAATGATAAAAACAGAGATGTAGATGAGCCAGGCAAGGGAGGTACAGAAGTAAAATCTGAGAAGACTGAGCAAATTGTCGCTGTAGAGAAAGAAATTCTAGAAATAAAACCAAAGAAGAAGCCACCCAGAGGAGGAGTGTCAATGTTTGGTGGAGGAGGTATTGGGGGTAAGGAACTGCTTGCTAAGGTACAACAAAGAAAGAGTATACTGGAACCTGACAGTGAAAGTGAGAGTGATGATGATGATGGTCCTGTCACCATTTCACCGGGAACTTCACCACACAAGGAAGAAATTACTACCGTATCATCAGTCAAGCTTCTTACCCCAATAAGTCCAATTTCACCGATGTCTCCCCTGTCACCAGTCTTTGCCTCTGAAGTAGTCTGGCCTAAATCTGGAGGTCAGGAGAGTAGTGTGAGTTTTGATGAACCAGCCCCAAGCACAACACTACAGAGTCTGAATAAGGTTTGGTCTTAGATGTATTGTGATATATACTGTACTGATATAATGTGTATGTTTACATTAGATAAAAAAAAACTCCTCCGCTCTTTTTAGGGCTGTGAGAAAAGCACATTTTTATTTTGTAACTCAAATCTGCCAGTAGTTTTACCCAGTTATGGGGGGAAGGGGGAGTGTGGCTGGGGAGGGACAAAGACAAGTGATGACTGAACACATCATCATCCTCCAGTCAATACATTTTTCTTATATTATTCATTTTCAGAGCCGAAACAGAGGAAGCCTGAAGCGACGACCCCCGAGTAGATCCCATAGAAGGAGTAGATTAGAAGAAAATTCTCCAGGTGCACCAAACATTTCAACAAGTAAAGAGTATACAGCACCAGCAGACACAGTTACTTCCTCTGTACCAGAATATACTTCTCAAGACAGACAAAGAACCTGTCAAGAGAAAGAATTGAGTGTTAATGATTCATCTGTCTCGCCTGATAAACAAAGACAGCTGGACTCTATATTTTGTGATGACAGTACTCAGAGCGATATAATTAGCAATTATGTAAATACAGAAGTAAAAAACACAGTAGAAAATAAAGAACAGTCAACTGATATTGTTAGTAAAAAAGAGAAGAGAAATACTGCCTTAAAAAAGAAACAAAAGGATGAGAGTAATGATGATGATTTGTTTGGAAGATCAAAAAGTGCCTTAAATGAAGCCAAAGTAAAGAGTATTAGCAAAGGAACAAATAATTCTCTGTTTGGGGTAAGTGACAGTGATGATGAGGACTTGTTTGGGGAGGCAAAACTGAGAACAAGTTCAGTAAAGGCCTCAGAAAGTTCTTCTAAGCACAACAGTTCTACAAAGACATTGGTCAAATCTCATCCCGCTCAGTCCCTCTTTGGCAACGATGATGGTAAGTTCAGGTGAATTTCATGATAATAAAAGACTGAACTTCAGAATTAACTTATGAAATTCCCATTCTTTGTAATGGAAATTATCTTCAAGTTGCTTCTGTCCTCTACTCTGATGCCACTTTTGTGACTGTTTATACATACTGATAGGAATTATACCTTGAGTTTCTTTTCATTTTATGACTAACCTTAGTCTCACATTCTCTCACAGTTTATGTTATTACACTAATATGATGCTGTCTGGGCTCTGGGTCGATGAAATTAGAACAAAATATTGAATTATCCCAACATATTGAGACTGATAAAAGTGTCCATATACTTGATTAGGGACGTGTCTACATTATCTTTTAAATATTTCAGTATTTAAGGGAAATGTGAAGTTAATTACTCTGGACAGGAAAAATTGGTTCACATCAATAAGGTGTTGAGGTTATGTGCCATCTTAACTTGAAGGTTCTTCTCTAGTTAACATTTACTTGAGCAATGATGTTATTTTACTAACACAACTGTTTACCTTTTCTACTTGAGTACATTTCATATAATATTTTATTTTGCTTTTTCCAGCACTGACTTTTCTTCTCTTTAAACTGATGAACCTGTGAACTTTATATTTCAGATGACATCTTCGGCTCATCAAGCAAAGCGGAGAAAGTTTCAGCAAGTGTGCCGAGAAAAGGATCCACATCAAAACCAAAAAGTAATTTAAAACCTTCAAGTGAGCCATTTGAGGACCCTCTTCTGAGTAACTTGAAATAATACGAAAAATAAATGTGATTATAACAATTATGAAATAGTCATAGAACAATTTTGTGCAAATAATACTGAAGGAGGAGATTAAATTTTTTTCCCTTCCTTTTACTAGATTCCATTGAAAATAATGTCTGGGTCTCTTTGATAGACTAAGAAATTCAGTTGTTTTCACCACCATTATTAAGAAGGTACTGTACTATATCCAGATCTGAACAGTTTAAAATCATGATTATCCAGGACCCATTGGTCTGAACTCCTAATTTTCCAGGGACCATTGGTCTAAACTCATAATTTTCCAGGGCCCATTGGTCTAAACTCATAATTTTCCAGGGACCATTGGTCTAAACTCATAATTTTCCAGGGCCCATTGGTCTAAACTCATAATTTTCCAGGGCCCATTGGTCTAAACTCATAATTATCCTGGACCTAATCATCTATAATCAGGAGTTTCCAGGACACATAATGACAGAGAACTTTGATTATGTCAGAATCATTTACTGATATGTAGGGTCCTGGTTTTTTAGGTCTCAATATTGCAGTGTTTTAATTATCAAGGCTCCTGTGATATAAGAGTCTCAAGGATCCCAGAGATGATATGGCCTATATCATAGTCTTGGATCACCTAAAGAATCTGCACCCAACTTATATCACTGGAAGATTTACCACCCTAATACTAAACTAACCTTACCTTAAATCCCCAAATAGTTGAAATAAATTGAGGTGGAGACTCTTCAGGTGACCCACAGTCTCTGGTGTCGTGGCATTAACAAAGGTAAGCATTGTCCATGGATATTGCCTGTATCCAAGATCCTTCGCATGGAGAAGTAATATAACGGACCAAATTCACCATGTTACATGTTTATAACTTATGTATGACTAATAATAGTTATGAAATCTTCCACACTGTCAAACAAAGACAGTGAATGATTGTGGAGATATTAATGTGCAAGATATTGTTTGTGACATGGAATTCTTGGTGGTTAGGGCTTAATTTAATTTCAGAATATGCATTGTATATTTTTCCCTATTGGTGAAACTGGTAGGGAATTCCTGACTGAGATTGGTTAAGATTTTCTCTAAGACCTTATTCTGGTAAGATTTCCCTAGCTAAGACCATTTTCTCTGGCCTGTTTCTCTTAACCTTTTTCCCTCTTAAGGCCATCTTTCAGCAATGAATAATGTCTAGTACTGTATGTGGTGTTACACTGACCCCAGGTAGTGAAAGGTATTTTCAGTAAAAACAAATTGGGACCATTCATTTGGGAAGGTACAGAGATGGATCCTTAAAATAGGAGCTTAGGAAATGGGAGATTCCCCAAAACCAGACATTTTCTTCCCTGTTTTAAGTTAAAATTTTCTTCCCTTGTCATGTCCAGTTTTGCTTCAAGACACCCTCACACTCAATTGAATGTTTGTTTTACTTCTCAAATAACAAAATAAATAAGACATACATACTTTAAATAACAAAATATTGATTAAATGTAGTCTTTTTATGAACGAGAGTTGCCTAATTAGGCTTATATCACATCTATCTTGGGTTTGTGTATATCTGATTCCCAGAAGCTTCTATGTGGAGAATTGTCTTGGTAGATATAACTTTGTATCATGAATATGTTGGTTGAGGTCAATAAGTACCTGTACCATATATAGGCTGAGAGGTCAATACACCTACATATAATTTTCCCAACATTATCTACCCAGCTCTTGGTCCTCTTCAACTTAGAAATTTTTACAACTGACACACACAATGCGTTTAGTGTAGTATAAATGTGGGTATTTTATCCCATCTATTGCGACAAAGTGCATAGATTTAGAAGTAGCTCATGCCCTGACCACCAGGAATCTCGGTTTCAGTCCAAAGGTTTTCACAGTAAATGACTTAGATATGATTTTTTTAAGATTATATGACTATTTATTATTATTACTGTAGTTGTCGATATTATTATTATCACTTGTTTTTGCTTTATTATTATTATTGATGTATTATTGCTCCTAGTACAGTGGTCCCTCGGTTAACGAATTATCTTCCAAAAGAATTTTCAATTCGGTTAATGAAAAAAATTCGGTTAACGAATTCCTCTCAACATGTTTTTGCTTGCTCACCAGCTGGAATATTAGTCCGCCAATACAGTAATCGGTTCTAGGGCTTAAATTCGTTCCCATTTGAGTAAATATCAAGAAGGTTGTACTATTCAATAATTTTCCAAGTTTTATATTGAAAATTTTAGTCATTTTAACAATTATTTAACATATTTGAAGTACAGGAAACTAGTTTTTAGTGCGCCAAACAGCCACTTGACTCACCCAGCATGGCGTCAGTTTGTGTGTCTGTTCAGTGGAGGTAACATCTTGCTCGAGACCTCTTGAACATAAACTATTTTTACGTTTTTACAGTACAATTATTGGTCATTCTGAAATTTATTTTACATATTGACAATATATAGTGCAGTGCAGTGTTGATTTAAAGAAAATAATCTTGAATTACACCTAGTGAACTTAAAATTTTATGGGTGAAATGACGCCATGAAGCATGGGGTGATTTCTCTTCCACCCCCACTTCCTTCTCTTCTCCCATCTCCTCCACCCCCACTTCTAATTCCCATCATCATCAACCAGGAGCCTTCTACATACACACCTCAAAGTAAGTGTACTTTACTGCATTTATTTTTACTTTGCATGCAATTTTCGGTGAGCTGGAACCAATTACCGGTACCCAAAATCCCATTGAAACAATGGTTTCGGTTAACAAACGACCTTCTGGATTTGTGTTCGTTAACCGAGGGACCACTGTACTGTACTATTCTCTCATTTCATCATCAGTTACATGGTATTCTTCTTAACAAACCCCAGAAGACTATGATAGGGAGAAAAAAACACATGAGAAAAGTTTAATGTGAGAAACAAACATGGGAGTGTTCATCCTGTGTTCCTGTTTCATTCTTTGTATAATGTCTTTATTTATTCACTTCTCCATATGAACATATAAGAAATACATACAGTAGTGTTGTTACATTGTAAATGGAGATCTTAAGAGGCAAGACGTACGTGATTCAAGATCAAACTCTTTTATCAAAATCTAAACATTCTTGTTATCTTCTTTGGTTGTTTTGATTTAGTAACTTGCATTGACGGTTTATTGTTACAGTTCTGATATAAACCACTGAATTTTAAGTTGACTACTGTAAGGTTTTTAGGAATAGTTATACTGTACCACTCTCGTCACACCAACTTTGAAACATTATTCATAAAACGCTCAAGACAAGTGCCTTTGAAGAAATACAGATCTGGTAGGTATATCAGGAACTCATAAGAAAAGCTTGTATTGAAGTTTAAAGACATATCATGTAGAGTTGTGTTGAAAGAATTAAGTTATGTTATCTGTTGCTGTATAATGTAGTAAGTAATTTGCAGACAACAAGTGTATGGGTGATTAGAAATACTAAATAGAGCTTTTTAAGTTCCCAAAGTAATGGATATGTATTGGGTTTTCACTTAGTAATTGTGATTTTTCTATCCTATTTATAAATTAAGGATGATAATAAATCAGATAATGTAGTCACTTGAAAGTTCCCTGAAATATGTATACTACTGTACTGTATAGTTTTAAAAGAGTTAATTGATGACTAGAATATAGGAGTTCTATTGGAAAAATATTTTTGGAATGATACTGTATATGAATCTAACATGATTTATCTGTTGATCAAAAAATTTATAAAAGATATATATCTGATATTTCACAAATTTAATGTTAAGAATTTTTTAACCAGTAAGAGAAGCTTTAACATAAGACGTGATGAGATGACATGTTTAGCCTCAGCTCTTGACATTGGGTTGATGATTGTTATTATGTTCTGTGCATATATATATATATATATATATATATATATATATATATATATATATATATATATATATATATATATATATATATATATATATATATATATATATATATATATATATATATATATATATATACGTATATATATATATATATATATATATTGGGTTGTGTCTCGAGGACTAACACCTTCCAGTCCAGTCAGTCAGAGTAGCACAAGTAGACATGATCTGTAAGCCCTGATACAAAATTTAATTGATCTACAGTACAGTGATAGATAGCCTAGCAATGAGCCATTCCATACAAAGGGCAGGAGTGGAAGGTTTCTCTAGGCAGCTCACATACTGTATAACCAAGTGTCTTTGTTGAAAATTCCTATTGTTATGTAATGAGAGCCAGGCTTGATACAATGTTTTCTCTGGCTGAGGGAGACACATTATAAGAAAATAAAACCGTTTATGTAATTAATGTGTAATTGGATTAGCTGTAAAACTAACCACAGTATTTGCAATCCTCTGTTTAGAAAAGCTTGCAGGTGACTGAGAGCTACTTGTACCTGTACTTGACAATAATTGGTCCATTTTGTTATCAATTACTTGGTAAAAAGGCTTGTTCAATGACACTTAGTAATGGTAGTCAAGACGTTTGTTACTTGTGATGGTTAGTGTAAATTGAGATATTAGAATTTAACACTGACAACTTGAGTTTGAATGAATTTATCAAATGCGCTTCAGTACAAAGGATACCATGAGTTGGAGTCCATTATCAATATTTGTTTACCATGTAGTGTTGAACTGTGCTCAGTAGCTAGGAATTCTAGTTTTATCTCTGTAGAGGCCCTGAGAATATGCACTTAATTCTCATATATCATTGAAGCTTCATCAAGAAAAAATATCTCATATAAAAAGCATCTGATGGTTACTGTTTTTCAAATACCTGTATTCCTTTTTTCCTTTTATCCTCTTCACCACTGATCGGCTCGTTAGCCACTTGGGCGATCGGTCACGTCTCTGTTACTTTTCTCTTTCTTTTATCCTCTTCACCAAATGATCGGCTCGTTATCCACTTGGGCGATCGGTCACGTCTATGTTACGCACTGTTGGCAAGTACTGGGCATGCACCATATACAGTAATATCCCCATTAGCCAGAACTCTCCAAACCTGGAATTGAAATTGGCTTGGAATTTTTGCAGTCTGTGAACGAGTTTCCGAGATTAAAAATCAGGCGCGTTTTCTGAGAATGGTCCAAGAAAATCTCTCTGTTCTGGGCCCCGAGAATAAATTTTCCAGGTGTATCGAGAGATCGCTTCATGCTCCAACACATCCCCACATGCCAGGTGCGTGGGTGGTCTTGCTGCTTGTATCGCTTAGTTCATATTCTGCTGCCATTGTAGAAGGTTATTCCCTCAAAATAATTTGTTTAAGGTTCTCTTATTGGAAACATGTCACAGAGAATTTATTCTGGATCATTGTGGTATCAAATTCATCTCTCTAACACAATTAGAACAGATGCTGTGAATAAAAATTTATAAAAAATTTTGTTTGGGTAAATGAGGTGGTATTGATTTTTTTTTTTTTTTGCCACATGAGACTAGTTTATTGGGCACCCCCTTGCATCCTGTACAAGGCAAAGTGCAAAAGCATTGAGCGAGTCAGAGAGAGGGAGGGAGGCCTAACCCTTGGAGTGAAAAACTGACCACACAATCAGTTTCTCTCAAGGGTTGCCCCTCACTCTTACCCACTGCATCTCACCACCACTCACCATTCTAATATAACTGTCATTCATGATACCTGTACAATTAATATTATACAGTACATAGTTTATTTGTTAGTCATTAATTAGTAAAGATATGTTACTGTAATAATCAGTGTTTATTAATAATTGTACCTGTCATACACAATACTGTACTGTATGCAGTATGTCTTATAGGTAAAAAATAACGTCGTCAGGAACGCATCTCCATATATGCAATGGTACCAAATTCATTTCTCTAACACAATTAGAGCAGATGTGAATAAAAATTTATACACTTTTTGACTAACATCCTCATGCCTCAAAAATACCTTGGCTTTTGTCTTTATTCGAGACATCTCCAGGTCATGAGACCCACTAATCTCCCACCCAACAATAGGTGACCTGACATTGTATTAGGTTATAAATATGAGACCACTAATCCCCCACTCCACCTCCACCTGATACTGTATCAGGTCAGTACTTTAGTATATTTTTTTTTTTTTACTAACATGAGACCCATTAATCCCCCACCCCACCTACAGTGGTGTTTACATAAATTAATACAGCTCTGTGTGAGTGGAAAATACTAGTCTTCACTGTAATACACAGCTTCATTCACAAGGCGCCTCGCATACCCGTATCATATATATATATATATATATATATATATATATATATATATATATATATATATATATATATATATATATATATATATATATATATATATATATATATATATATATATATATATATATATATATATATATATATATATATATATACAGTATATAAATTTTATTTATTTTTTTTTTTTTATATAACCAGACTTTTAGATAAACTATTAAGGATTATTCAAGTAAAGAAATGGAGTTTCTAACTAAATTAGAACTGCTTTTACAGATTCTGGTATCAAAATTTCTTACATTTTTTCAAAAGGAATGGAGGCCCTATCATTACATCATGTCAATAATATTTTGTTTGAAGACCTCTCATTGAAAACATCTTGTAGAGGATCTATTAAGGAACATTATGGTGTCAAAGTCATCTCTCCAACACAATTTGAACAGATGTGAATACAATTTTATACGTTTTTTCACTAGTTGTAATTATTTCCACTCGTGCCTGTGGTCTAAATGTAATGGGGGAGTGTTTGTCTTTGTGAGATAAGATGATGCGATTCATAGTATAGAGTCGAAATGAGATGTGTAATTTAGACTCTAAGAAAACTATCCTCAACACCCAGAAACATTCCAGGGATGTGAACTAGTGTCTGTCTAAGCAAGGTGCATAGTTTAGACTCTCGGAAATTTTTCCCAATAACCGGAAAAATTCCGGGGATGTGGGCATTTTTCCGGGTTTGAGAAAGTTGTCTCGTTACCTGGAAAAGCTGTGCAATAACTGTTCCGGCTAACGGGGATATAATTGTACTGTACTGTACTTAAGTATCAGCAGTAAAGTTGGGTACAGTACTGTACTGATTCATCTGTACAATACTGTATGCTTCAGCAGCATATTTTGATGACATTGTATCATTAGGGTTACAGTTACTCAAAATTTGTATGATTGAACAACTTACTTCCCTGTTATATAAGAATTAGTTTAAGAGGTTTTGCAAGGAGTTTGTGTAGCAAATATCTGTCTGCTTATAGCTTGAGGATGCAGGTCATACAGTGTTGTTTAAAGTCAGACAAATGACCCTGTTTTGTCCAGGATATTACCTTTTAGGTTGCTCAGAAAAATGTTACTTCCTTAAAGGTGTCAGGGTCTTAGGATCTAGAATTGTTTGGAGCCAAAACTGAGACTGGATAACTGTTCCACCCATGAGGCTAATACTATACTGTACCTACTGTATTGTATTTGGATGATGCTTGGTCACAAGTTCCTTTTAAGTTGTTTAGAGCCAGACCTGAGGTCAACTGTTACATTGATGTCTTACTCAGGAAGTTAGTACACATTGAATGAGATTAAACATATCCAGAAGATTGTTACTGAGATGCACATCTAACATGTTACAGTTTTGAGGTAGGTTATGGATTACAGGTACACTCACCCAGTCAAGTAATGAAAGAATAGGAAGCCTGTAAGGACCTTGAGGCTATTGAGCTGGCATAAACAACTACTTCATCAGCAAGTATGTAAGATATTTTATACACATACAGTAGTAGTTATGTTTTATTGTTCTTTGTATGATCCAGGGTATATTTTTGACGTGCTTTGTACATTAGCAACCATTCCAGTTATACCGGGAACATGTGCTCTAATATTAACAGTACACTTTGCTGAGTGTACCAACAATCGAAAAATTGGTTTATATGAAATTTATTTCTTTTGTATTGTTAAATGCTGATTATTGTGAAAGGTGATGCCAAATTAATAAAGGATATATACAATCATGGTACTGACTGTATTTATCACATACTGTACATGTACTTATTTATAGCAACTTGTCCTGTGCCCAACCATTAGCAGTAGCAACAGGCATGTTTCAAAGGGTATTATATTAGCTTTGATAATTACTGGTAACAGCAGTTGTAATTGAAACATATGAAACATATTGGGTTATTTTACTTTTAACACATAGAAACATTGCCAAGTTATTAGTAAAGATGATGCAGGGGTCAAAATTCCTAGTTCCAAAATGTAGTATCTTATTACAGTATTGTATTATGGTTTGGATATATATATATATATATATATATATATATATATATATATATATATATATATATATATATATATATATATATATATATATATATATATATATATATATCAATCGCCTCATGGTTCATGTGTAGGGATCCCCCCGTATTCCTAGAGGCACTGGGTTTGGTCTTGGGTGAATATTTATCGATCAAATGGGTCACTTTACTAGTTATGATATTCAGCGTAATGTCTGCGTTCTTGTGCCTTAATGAGTCAGGCGAGTTGATACCCCTCATCTTGTTGTAATTTCCCTTGTAATATTTGCACCTTGGCCTGGCCTTATCTTGAATTAGGTAACAGTTAAATCTAAATGACAAAACTACTGTACATGGTGACTGGCGCCAACTGGGGCAAGGTGTTCCAGTTTAGCCACCATACACTCCTCGTTTGTTATGATGAGGTTTTGTGGCTTGGGTGTTTGCTCCCCTCTGTAATGTGTCGGGTCTCTAACATGTTGGAACAGAAAATTATCTCTCAGAGTTTCTACAAAAAGAGTAGCAGGGTTATTCAAGTCATTTGGGGTGCAACTCGTTTCTCCAGTCGATGTCGCCTTAGTTAAAGTCCCCCATGATAAGGAAGTGGCTAGGGTTGAGCATCGCTGCATTGTCTATTAAGGATCTTAATTTCCTTTGATTTAGTGGGCCACAGCTTGGGTATCTGTAGATACACCCGACGATAAGGAAGTCCCCTCCCTTTAATTTAATTTTACACCACTTGGACTCTTCAAAAATATACTCTCCCTGTACCCTCGCCTGGCTTGCTGTAAGGTCTTGCGTAGCATAGATAACCACACCCCTCTTGCAAGTTTCTTGAGAAAGGTTCGTAAATGAGTCATATCCAGCAATCCTGAACTCATTCCTCTGGGTCGATTCTCCTGTTCTTGTACAACAGTTCTACAACTCCTACACTATCTGGTTGGTGTACCTTCAGTAGTGTTTCAAACCCCTCTCTCTTATCAAGGAACGTAGCTACAACCCGCTACACTGGAAGACAAAAGTTAGCTTCTCGCCGAGAAGCTAACTTCCTGGCTGAGCATCATCTATCTCTTTCTTTTTCTCTTGTGTCAGTGAGAAGTGATACCACCCTCAGTATCAAGACCTGACTGAATTACTCATAATAGGCAACCTGTACTCCAAGGTTTGTCAATAAATTTGTGAAACTAAAAAAACTAATAGAAGACCTAAAGGAAGGTCATCGTCAGTGGATGTGAAGGACAGCCATTGTTTACTAACATAAGGCAGCATTCACTAGATCTTATAAAACTAGCCGCTGGTCATGTAAGTATAGTAATTATTGCCATATAGACAAATATTTTCCATGAAAAAAATATGCCTTTATAATTTATCTAAAAGGATATATTTAACAAACATTTTTGTATTATTATTTAAAGTACTTGTAGCAGATGCCGGGCCCGGTAGCTCTAGCCAGGTGTCAGCTGCACCGAGCTCATGGTACATTTAGTGATAATATCGTGTAAACTAACTTTTACTGTCATGGCCAAGATAAACTGTACCCTTACTTCATGATCTGCCCTAAGTTAAGGTAGGTGAAGTAGTAGTTAGGTCTCTGATAGGTTATAATATATATATATATATATATATATATATATTGTCTGAATCATTGGTATCTGAAGAGTAGCAACGTTATAACGAGACAACGTTGTCTGGGACAACATTAAACGAGGACTTACTTTATTCCACATCATAATCGTGCTGTCGTCCACTGATTCGAAAACAGCTGAAAAGAATGTTAATTGATAAGTCAGACATGAATGCCCACTTGTGAAGCTATGTTGTGAATCATGGATCAACTTGTGCTTCTCCAGGTGATTTCGAATAGAGTTTGAAATTATTGCTTCTTGAAATTTGCCTACACTTGATGTTAAACTGATTGGACGGTAGTTAGAGGATAGTGATCTATCTCCCTTTTTGAAAATCGGTATTACATTCGCAAACATGGTAGAAAACAATTTCCTACCTCAAGAGTAAACTTAATCCCTTCTCTACGGACAGACAATTTTATTCAGCTCAGGCGACACCGTACATAAGGGGTTAGTAGACTATCTCCACTAACCCCTCCACTTTTGATATTTGGGTAACAGTTGAGCAACCAGTTACCACCAGAAGGACTTTATGGAATTACACCAAATTCTCAGATCTTGCTTGGATGATACTAAGTAAGAAAATTTAAATAACAATGAACAGAACCTATTAGAAACTTGCCTAACCAACCTAACCTCACTGCCTAACCATCCTAACCTAACTGCCTGAGAAAATATTGGAAACATAATGTATTGTCCTGCTGCTATATGGCATCATGGAAATTGTGACCAAGTCCCAGGTTGCTGATCTGAATTTCTGCCTCATTTACACACAATTGCAGGGTCTCAGTTGTCTCTCTTACTATTGACAACACAACATATTTAGCCATCCTCACTCTTGATCTGTTTTATTTTTTCTATTCCCTTATTCTCCTATGATGTCACTTGACAATAATATTGAAGCGGGGACTTATCTGTGTCACCTACCATGCCTCTGTGTCACCTACCATGCCTCTGTGTTACCTACCATACCTCTGTGTCACCTACCATACCTCTGTGTCACCTACTATGCATTTGTGTCTCCTACTATGATGCTTTATTCTTTGCCTGCATTGCTGGTAAATGTTACTTTTTTACATTTAGTAATTACATGTACATCTATATTGGTAAAAAAAAATATTTTTGTATTTTGTGGGAGGGGGAAGTGCCTCGATAAGTCGGAAGTTGCGATAACTCGGCAAGATCAGAGCCCCATATGTGCCGAGTTAGCGAGGGTTTACCGTGCTTGTAAAATAAAGAAGCTGTATGCCAGCCAATGATACCATGCTAAATGTTCAATTTTTAATGTGAACAGGAATGTTTCATAGACACTTACATAGAAACAGCAATTTTAGAAATTTTTTGTATAGTAGATGATAAATTCTTTGTTATTGTTAAGAATATTCCTACAAAGGACAAGGCTTTGCAATTTTCAAAAATTATGTTTGGTATTACTGTACACATGAATATTTCCTATTGTTTTTCCCTTACACACAAACACATCCAGGTTATGTTAGGTTTAATTATGGGTATTTATTTATTTTTTATTTTATTTTTTCACCACTTATCAGCGTATTACTCGTTCAGGCGGTTGATCTACCTAGTGTTATTACAGGAGGAAACTAGAGTCTGGGATACCTATGGTGTTTGACGATGAGGGTCACTATGGAGGAATACACTCTTCTTACATGTGTCTGGGCCAAGCAGGACTCAAACCCTTAATGGGAGATACGGTACAAGCATTGCTGCTGTACCACCAACAGTCAATACAGTACAGTACTTGATGTCTGTGTACGAGGAACACCTTCATACTTTTGCGTGATATCACTTTTACGGTTATTTGTGTCTGGAAGGCAAAAGTAACAAGCTTCCCCATGTTGGTTTCTTGTTTGAACTTTTATAAAAAATTGATGCTTTCATTTTTAAAGATTAAAATACTATATACGTACATGAAAACTTTAATATTTATATTAGGCTAGGCTAGGAAGGTGAGGTTAGTTTGGTCAGTTTGTTTCATTTTATGAATAATAAATTATGAAATGAAGCTCAGTTAGAAATGATTGAACAGTTGCGATTTGATTTGACTTGTTTACTTTACTTGTCAAATGTGATGGAGAGTGTTTATATAATACAGTACAGCAGTAAGATTCCACCGAATGGGAATTAATTTTGACCCTTGCAGTCAGTGGACACACAATGTACGTCCTTATGAAATACTGCTCTGTGACATTGGTGGAATACCCTCATGTCCCACTAGTGTAGTTATACATATTACCACGGCACTCTGATGTCCCACTAGTTGTATTACCACTAATATTTACTCTCGTGTGTATTATTCTTACCTGAGGCACAAGAATCACTTTGCTGGGTGCTTTTGACTCATGTTATAGGGTTTTGATAAGGTTTTAACTCATTTTAAACAAACAAGTGATGGGAAGACTGACACTGAAGGGGACACTCAAAGGATTCAGCAGTTGTTCGGTGTCCTGATGTTACTCAAAGTAGTCCATCACTGTTGCGTTAGTGTGTTGTTAATATTTTATTTTATTTTTTTCAAAATTATTATTTTTCTCTTAACTCATCAACAACATATAAGCAAAACAACACATAGTTTGGCAACATATATTGACAAATACAGTACCCTACTTGTATATTGTACAGTACTTGTAAAGTACTGTACTGTACAGTGTACTCTAGTTTGAAGTTGAATCTGAAGCTAAAGTGCATCTACAGGCCTAGAGTAGTTCCATGCTGCATTCAGTAATCATAAACCGTGCATGTGTTCAGTTGTCTCCCACTAACAGGCGTGTAGAGCCAAAATTTTGGGGGGCAAGGAAAATTTGCCCAAATTTTAAGTTGCATAAAGCTAGGTGTTCCTGTGTCACAATCCACTGAGGAACCTTTTCACCAAAAGTGAAGTGACTGGAGTTGATGCCAGGACACAACATTGTCGATTTGGTCCTTATGACACGATACTTCTTTGTGTATGTTGACCCCGACCATGGTGTGTTAGGGGTGTCATTAAGACTGAGTGAGTCTTTAAGATAACCTCACTACTGTGGTCATAAATGCCATGCTTATTATCTACGGAGCTGCCGTAGTAGCGCAACACCCTAAGTGGTACCAGTACAAGATTTAATTATCCTTTAGTTATTTACATACTGTACTGGGTGACCAAGTTGTTTAGTCACCTTAGCTTCTGAAAAATATTTGATTACCCAACTACTTCTCCAAGGTGTATCAATCAGACATGTTGCCAGATTTTTCACAGTAAAAAATCAGATATGTGGCCAGACATCTCACTTTGTGTGAGATGAATGAAGGATTATAGAAATGTCAATGAAGGGTTGAGAGGAAATAAAGAGACCCTTACTAGAGAAATGTCGGAGGCAATATAAAAGGATTAAATCAACAGGTATACAAGTATCCACTCTTTCTTACTCATACCTCATCTTCATCTCCCATATACAGTACAATACTGTACTGTGTACACTACTGTACAAAGTAAGTTAAGTATTTTGAGACCATCTTCACCAGTTTAGGGGTCAGTTTTGATGGTCGTTCTTAGTGGTCAACTGATAATAAAAGGTCTGTGTTGACTTTCAGACAGCTCAAAAAAATATTCATAGGCCTTTGCTCTTACTGATATACTGTACTGCACAGTAAAGTATGTACAGTATAGTACATATAAAATAGTTTTCATCTGTATGGTGGAAAGTCTTGTCCTATCTTATCGCTGCATCTTTTATGAACACCCAGCCTTTTTTGTATGTCTACTTAAAAAAAAACAGGGCATTTTTTTTTCTGGGTGACAAGCTAATTGTGCCCTTCTGGCCAACCCCCTGATTTTTTTAATTGACTACAGTACATCACAGGTCTATATCTGGTGAGCCTTATTATCCCCATCATGACCACCATTACATAAACCATAAATACTCATTATTATTATAGGCGAGTAATGCCACAAGTTGCCCCTTTCCATAATGATGTGGAGCCGATAACACTGAGAATGTTGCTTACATCTTTCCTGTGTGAGAGAGACATCCTCCCATCCATTAAAGAAACACCAGACACAATATAGGTCGTAACCAAGAATAGACCAACCGCCCGAATGGCTGGCTGGACACATCACCAACTGAGGCAAGCTTCGTGGGTGACAGACTTTTGCTGATATAAAAAAGTAAATGTTTAATGCGAGCTCAAATTAATGTCTTCCATTTGTACATAGAGGAAACAAAGAATTAATAAGCTATATCAGTTAAACATTAGGTTAAATTATAATAAACCATAGTGGAGACATTTACTCAGTAATGTATATGGTACTGTACAGTATACACTTACAGTATATATTAGTGAGAATGTGAGAAGCTCGTGCTGTGGAAGGAATAGAAGTGTTGATATATTACATGAAATAAATCGACCAAATAAAAAAGAAAAAAATTTAGTCTTAATAATAAAAAACAAACCATTTGAGCAGATATTTCCATATTTGATGAGATATTCAAAATGTTGATGAAAATTTGTGAAAAGCTAATTCACTGAGATACTGTATAGTTGTTGTGTGTTAGCCAAGCTTATAAGTCCGGAGTTGACTACATTGTTGAGTACAGTACAGTACTGGTACCGACTGTATTAGGTAGTCACCAGTCATCACAGTTCAAAGTTTAAATTTATTTAGGTTTGTCATAGAAAATTTTTGCTTTCATAATTCTGTATATGTTGACATAAACAACAACATTCTTTAAACCTTTAGTTTTGAAAATTTGCAATTATTATACACTGGTGCACCATCTCTCAACATATTATACACTGGTGCACCATCTCTCAACATATTATACACTGGTGCACCATCTCTCAACATATTATACACTGGTGCACCATCTCTCAACATATTATACACTGGTGCACCATCTCTCAACATATTATACACTGGTGCACTATCTCTCAACATATTATACACTGGTGCACCATCTCTCAACATATTATACACTGGTGCACCATCTCTCAACATATTATACACTGGTGCACCATCTCTCAACATATTATACACTGGTGCACATCTCTCAACATATTATACACTGGTGCACCATCTCTCAACATATTATACACTGGTGCACCATCTCTCAACATATTATACACTGGTGCACTATCTCTCAACATATTATACACTGGTGCACCATCTCTCAACATATTATACACTGGTGCACCATCTCTCAACATATTATACACTGGTGCACCATCTCTCAACATATTATACACTGGTGCACTATCTTTCAACATATTATACACTGGTGCACCATCTCTCAACATATTATACACTGGTGCACCATCTCTCAACATATTATACACTGGTGCACCATCTCTCAACATATTATACACTGGTGCACCATCTCTCAACATATTATACACTGGTGCACCATCTCTCAACATATTATACACTGGTGCACCATCTCTCAACATATTATACACTGGTGCACCATCTCTCAACATATTATACACTGGTGCACCATCTCTCAACATATACACATTGCACCATCTCTCAACATATTATACACTGGTGCACCATCTCTCAACATATTATACACTGGTGCACCATCTCTCAACATATTATACACTGGTGCACCATCTCTCAACATATTATACACTGGTGCACCATCTCTCAACTATATTATACACTGGTGCACCATCTCTCAACATATATCACTTGCACCATTCTAACATATTATACATGGTGCACCATCTCTCAACATATTATACACTGGTACCATCTCTCAACATATTATACACTGGTGCACCATCTCTCAACATATTATACACTGGTGCACCATCTCTCAACATATTATACACTGGTGCCATCTCTCAACATATTATACACTGGTGCACCATCTCTCACATATATACACTGGTGCACCATCTCTGAATATATTATACACTTACCATCTCTCATATTCTGGTGCACCATCTCTCAACATATTATACACTGGTGCACCATCTCTCAACATATTATACACTGGTGCACCATCTCTCAACATATTCCTGGTGCACCATCTCTCATTACATGGTAGTAGTTGTGTTGTGGTCAGCCTCGTGTGCCCCAAGTTGACTTAGAATGAAACTTGTGTACTCTTGGCTGTGTGGGTTAAAAATTATGTCATGTTTCAATTTCTCTCTTGTCTCAAACAACACATAACTTAAGTTCCAGGCGTTTACTGTACCACCTGTTACTGTACCTTCTATTACTGTACCATCTGTTATTGTGCCACCTGTTACTGTACCTTCTATTACTGTACCATCTGTTATTGTGCCACCTGTTACTGTACCTCTCAATCCCTGTGCTACAACTGCCACTATGACAATACTTCACATAAATCTCATTATCCTAGGTGTTTGGGTCGACAGCGGTGAGTATCCTAACCCAATACATTAAGCCTTTCTCCCCTGGTGTTTGGCCATTTACGTGTTTCCTGTAACCTTGAGGCTCCCATGCTCACGTGTTCCTTGAGGCCCCTATGTTCTCCGAGGCCCCCATGTTCCCCAAGGCTCCTATGCTTACGTGTTCTCTGAGGCTCCCATGCTCACGTGTTCTCTGAGGCTCCCATGCTCACGTGTTCTCTGAGGCTCCCATGCTCACGTGTTCTCTGAGGCTCCCATGCTCACGTGTTCTCTGAGGCTCCCATGCTCACGTGTTCCCTGAGGCTCCCCTACTCACATGATCCCTCCCACCACTGTCATGGGGTGCCTATCCATATGTTCCCTCGAGGCTCAGTAACAGGGAATCTCTTGCGCAGTACAGTATCACCATATTCATTCATCCATTAATTCATTCAGTCTACCCATCATAGCCTTGAGTTTTGCGGGGAGTCTCCTTTCCATATACCCTCCTGCCTCTCCCACACGTCTTCTATAACCCGGGGCTCAGTATGCATTGCCTCTAACTCCGTAACTCGAGCTGTCCCACTCACATATATTCCACCCTGTTTTATAAATTGCTCTCCCAAATAATATCTTTTCTCTCTTCCTCCCAGTAATAATGATCTGTTTTATATACGTCTCTACCAAGTTTGGGAAAATCAGATTTATTTTTGTAAAAAGAAAAATAAATAACTAAATAAAAGTGATGGATGAAATAGAAAAACAAAACAAAGTAATGTTGTAAAAGAAACACGTATGGAAACTATAGATCATTGTGTGGGTGAGGGAGTGAGGCAATGTTGGAGGATGTGAGGGAGGTGTGGTGTGGTGTGGGAGAAGGGAGGCAGTGTTGGAGGATGTGAGGAGAAAGGGCGACTGTTGGAGGTGATGAGGGAGGTGTCGTGTTGGTGAGAGTGAGGCATTGTTGGAGGGTATGAGGGAGGTGTGGTGAGGGAAGAGGGGACAGTGTTGGAGGGCATGAGGGAGGTGTGGTGTTGGTGAGAGTGAGGCAGTGTTGGAGGGTATGAGGAAGAAGGGAGGTACAAAGGAATCCCCGGTCCGCTGCTGAAGGTGACCTCAACCGCAACTCCTGATCAGGACTAACTTGGTGCTGCGGCAGGGGAGGTGGGGAGATTCAAAGGGGAGGTTAATATGGGAGGGGAGGAAGATTTTAATCATTTAGAACAGTGCTACTCAAAGTGTGGTCCGCGGACCGGTGCCGGTCCGTGAGCCATCGTCTGCCGGTACGCGGAGAGTTTTCAGAAAAGAAAGAAACGATAGTCACGTTCCACATGTGCCGGGACATCTGACTCGGTCTTTTTTTTTTTTACATTTTCATTGTAGTTTTTATATTTATTATGGCTATATTTTCATTTACTCACTCATGTTAAAGTCATTGCTATGCAACTAACGAATGCGATATAATGAACAGCAAAACAGCGAACTGAAATCGTATAACAACACCCTTCATGATGGTGTGGCGTTTGACTCTGTGGGAACCACACCTGGGGGTATCAATAGGGCGCATCACCTTGTGTTGCCAGAATTGCCCGTTTCTCGGCCACCAGTTACGCCATATCCACCCAAAACATAAATCTTTTATTTTAAGTATGGTAGTTATTTAATTTCGGATAAAATAAATGTATGCATCCATTAAAGAAATAGCCGATTTTTTTACTATGCGTGCCAGCCGTGAAGGGTGTCACACAGCTGGCAACCCTGCTATTCCACACGTGTGGATCAGCAGTCTGTGATGTCAGGTCACAGGTCAGTGGTTAGTTACCATCAAGAAGTGGAACAAGAGCATCATACGGGTATCTGCGTGTTTGTCATTTGGGACCCCATCCCAACCCACTTTTATATTCATTATATTTTTCCTTTATAAAATAATATTACTACGAATGTTCAAATAATATTTTCTCTGATCGTAAACAATTAATTGTATGGCACAAATATGGTACTGGTCCCTGGCACACTGGGAAGACTTGTTACGTCAATGATGATTGGCCTTAGAATGAATAAGACATCATGTCTTCATGTTTAGTACAGATAGTCTCAAAATGCCCTGAAATAGGACATATCTCAAAAGATTTTCCGGGGGGCAATAGGCCCCGGGATTGGCTCGCTTCGCTCGCCGGTCCGTGGCACATTGAAAAAAAACCATGCCAGTCCGCCACATCAGATAGTTTGAGAAGCGCTGATTTAGAACATCTCTGTATATATAAACACGACTTCCTCTACCAAATACGATGGAATATACTTATTATTCAGCTGTAAATTGGTTTAGAAATTCCAAGTGGATAAGGGAGTTATTCTTCCACTTTCAATTGACCAAGAAAGATGAGATGAAGAACTTTCGTACAGTTTCCTGGACCCCAAAAAAAAAATGATGTTCTTATTACTAAAATTAACTCAGCTGTGCTTGCCTCACATTTCGGAAAATTCCAAACCGGACCCAGGCACTTATTTTCCTACTGTACACACCTTTACCTTGAACCAAGTCATGTGACTTGAACATAAGAAACACAAGAAAGTGGGATACTGCAGGAGGCCGACTGGCCCATACAGGGCAGATCTCTTTCACACCCATCCCAGCACTTCCATGTGCCTATCCAACTTCGTCTTGAAGCTCCCTAGCGTCCCCGATCCTACTATAGCACTCGGTAGCCTATTCCACATATCCACAACTCTATTACCAAACCAGTGCTTGCCTATATCCTTTCTGAATCGGAATTTATCTAATTTAAAGCCATTTGTTCTAGTTATTTCGTTATTACTGAGCTTCAGAACATCTTCCATTTTACCCTTGCTAATCCCACTTACCCACTTGTACACCTCTATCATATCTCCCCTATCTCTACGCCTCTCTAATGAATGTAAGCCTAAGCTTTTCAGTCTTTCTTCATATGGAAGGTTTCTAATATTATGGATCATTTTTGTCATTCTTCTTTGTACTCTCTCCAAAGAATCTATGTCCATTCTATAATAAGGACACCAGAATTGAACCGCATAATCCATGTGTGGCCTCACTAATGCTAGGTAAAGTTTCAAGATAACGTCAGCAGTTCTGTTACTCACACTCCTAGATATGAACCCAAGAATCCTGTTTGCCCTTGTTGCGAACGCTAGTACATTGTTTTCTAGGTTTCAAGTCGTTGCTAACAAATACACCTAGATCTTTTTCACAATCTGAGTTTTCTATTTCCGTGTTACCTAGTTTATACTTAACGTTTGTATTCGTCTTCCCTATCTGTAGTACCTTGCATTTATCAGTATTAAAATTCATTTGCCAGTCTACTGACCACTCATGTAAGGTATCTAGATCTCTTTGTAGGTGTTCAAAGTCACTGTCTGAATTTATCACTCTCCCCATTTTGGTATCATCTGCAAATTTACTAATCCTACTAGTTATACCTATTACAGATCCCTGGGGAACTCCGCTTTTGACCGCGCCCCAGTCTGACTTAAATCCATTTATGGTGACTCTTTGTTTCCTACCAGTTAACCATGACCTTTGACCTAATCCATTTTAATAATGATCCACCTATTCCATGTGCTTCTACCTTCCTTATCAATCTCTCATGAGGGACTCTATCGAATGCTTTACTGAAATCTAAATAAATTATATCATATGACTTATTAATTATCTACCGCTTCATATACTTCTGAGAAAAAGCTAAGCAAATTTGTGAGACAAGAACGTCCCTGGGTGAACCAGTGCTGAGAAGAATGAATTAAGTTGAATGTTTCAAGGTGGCTTCTGATTTTTGTAGCAATAATTGACTCTAGCAACTTGCCTATGATTGACGTGAGACTAATGGGACGGTAATTTGATGCAATTGATTTATCACCTTTTTTGAAAATCGGAACTACATTTGCAAGTTTCCAAGCTTCTGGCACTAGGCCCGATTCTAATGACTTATTAAATAAAACTGCTAATGGATTACTCAACTCATCTCTACATTCTTTTAATATTCTAGCATATACCTCGTCTGGACCAGGCGATTTATGAGACTTAGCATAATCCATTTTACAGAAAATTCCACCACAAATCTTTCCCTACCTACACTAACACCCAACCTTAGTTGATCATAAATCCTCGTTGTATTAACATCTGTTGTGTCTTGCACTTTGTTCTTCATTTTGAACTCCGAAGACTGACTATTAGACATCTTAGTGGCGCTTGTGTATAAGACAGCAAGTTACTGTCGATCGTTTCTCTCCAAAGGGTGAGTTAAATTAGCCATCTACAAGTATGGTACAACTCTAGCCATTTTCAGGTCAACAGCTGTAATACCAACACTGAGGACAGATGTACCATATGACCAAGTGGTGTAGCAATCACTGAAGAGCATACACACAGGTTTAGTAGAGTTTTGCACACCTCACTGACTTTACCTGTCACATGCTAGCAATATTTGGACTTGGGTGAAATTGGTAACTATGAGCGCGACCACGTAATTTATTAATAAGTGATGGAGGATTGATGGCCAGGAAGGTATTAACATGTTCAGAAACGTTGTGATTTAACTCGAGTTTTTTTTTTATCTGATCTGGTTTATGTTCATAGTTCATCTGATCTTTCCATCGCTTGAACTTTATCTTATGTTGATCACGTCTGTGCAGTGGTGATCCAGGGCTCTTGTTATTTGGTGCTAGACTGTCAAGAATGGGTAGAAATGGGGTCTTAATTTAGGATACTCCCAGCAACAGTTGTGGTGGTACGGTTTTTTTTGGTATAATAATCTAACGATCTGACGAAGTTTAATTATGTTAAGAGAGAGTTAAGCATGTTTACGCTGACCCTTTATACCGGTAGAGGATTTTTAGTCACGCGCCATCTGCGTAAGCGCTATATTGTCGGTCAGTGATGCACGAGACGTCATGTGGAAGTAGAAGAATAGAATGTGGTAGGTTATTTTGACAATGTTCAGTGATGGAAAAAGATGTTAACCTTACATGACCAACATCAGCCTCGCTGATACTCCACTTTGCTGTGCTCAAAAAGCAAAACAAAACAAAATAGGAAAGTGTTTGTATCAGAATTGTGGTTGTGACTGCTGATTGGATGGTCCCGTTAATACGTCATAGTTGTGTGTAGATCACACCAATTTTAACATTGCTCGAGGTTCGTTTATTGACACCAATAAAAAAAAGGACACTTGAACAACTTGGTCTAATAAAGTGTGCAGGCACATGGCTCAGTTTTGGGTGTATGGGTAGTCACTGGCACTTGCTTGTGTGTTTAATTTATGGTCATCGCTCACCCTTCGGCCTCCACTCTATACCTTGGTCGTGGTCAAGCAGGAACACGTCCCTCATACTATTATAGGTGCGGACGAGGGACCTATTATACAGTAAGTCACCTTTTGTCGCATAATATGAAAACTCTGTACTGTATATACGTTAAAAAGTTATTTTTTTTAATAAAAGAAAGATTTACAACCACCATCATTTAATATCAAAAATTAAGTTAAGAATATTGTTTGATTTGTCTAGTGGGAATGAAGACTCCTAGACCACTGATAAAAACCATCCAGCCATGGTGTGTGAATATCAAATTTTCGCCGGAAAACAGACTGAATAACAAACAGACAGTTGTCATTGAGGTGGTGCATCAGCTTCACCAAGGAGAGTGTATATCATTACCATTGTTGTTTCTTTCATGGGGAGGATGCCTCTTACTCTGGCTACCAAAGTATTATTGTACCCTCAACTTTGACATACTTTCCACCTATTGTTTCTTCTCTGTTGCTAGGATTTTAAAATCAAGTTATTGAAGATGTACAGGATACCACCGTGGCACCTTTAGGTATATTGATATAATTTAGGAAGATTGCTGTCACCTCCTATGATTGATCATATCTGGGACTCCATTTAAAGGGCTTTATGACCAAGAAATTCACATTTTACATTTCATAAGCTATAGAAGAAAGTAGTCACTAAAAATGCAGCAGCTGCCGTGTGTTGTGCTGTTATGGCGGGTGGGCAGCAAGGTGGGCAAGCTGGCGCGGCGCCACCAATTAGGTCAGGTGGTCCCCTGCCTCCACAAGAAGTCATTTTAACACTCATGAACTGCAAGATGCAACTCAGAGACTTCATTATTGAGCAGATTGTAGTGAAAGCTGAGAAGCTCCATTCTAGTGAGACATAAAGCCACAAACTGGTTGTGGACCCTAGTCCCACACGCCATCGGGGTCAGTGGTGGTGTTGTAACAGAAGACTCACTTGGAGACCACTCATGACGACGCTGACCTTATAAAACCCCAGCAAGTAGTAGATGTAGTTGACCAGGAGGATGGTGGTGGTAACTTGCGTGTCTCTCACCACTATGTCCTAGGTTCGAGTCTTAGACACGTGGTGAAGGGTGTTATCCAGTGTGACACGACCAAACATTACAGGTTTCCTCCGGGTACAGTACTCCGGTTTCCACCTGTATTAACACTGGACAATAAAATTCATAACAAAGAACAATTAACTGCCCGAACGTTTAAAGGTGAAATGATAAATTAAGATTCCATGCACTGTTTGTAATTTGCGAAGAAACCTTTTCCCAGCGACCCATTATACACATGGGAGCAACACACCACTAAGATCCCTCACAACACACCACTAAGATCCCTCACAACACCACTAAGATCCCTCACAACACACCACTAAGATCCCTCACAACACACCACTAAGATCCCTCACAACACACCACTAAGATCCCTCACAACACACCACTAAGATCCCTCACAACACACCACTAAGATCCCTCACAACACACCACCACTAAGATCCTCCCACAACACACCACTAAGATCCTCACAACACCACTAAGATCCCTCACAACACACCACTAAGATCCCTCACAACACACCACTAAGATCCCTCACAACACACCACTAAGATCCCTCACAACACACCACTAAGATCCCTCACAACACACCACTAAGATCCCTCACAACACTGTATTGCTTAACTCACCAGACTAATGAAAAACAAAAAACTTGGGTGTTGTGGCCATTAAGGAAAACAAATTTGATTTCATTGGTGGCGGCCATGTTGACGACTATCTTGGACGCCTTTGATAATATATCATACGTGTGTATTAAGGAATCTCATCCTAATTGTGAGAGTTTAAAAAGATTATTCCCTACAATAATAATGTTTTTAGACCCATATAATGTTGAAATAATCACACACACACACACACACACACACACACACACACATTTTGCTAGATTAGAAAGTTGGTGTTCATTTGAGTCCATTAGTTTTGTTTGTGCTGTATTGTTTTATATCTTAATGTGCTAATTGTTGTTACAGGGGGCGGTCACTGGGGGATGGCTGTGACACTCGGCAGCTTTCCTTCCTTCCATCTAAAGTAAGTATACAAGGCCATGATTTGTATTCCTCTTTACTCCTGCTGATAGCGCCAGATCCTGGAGGAGTGTGTGTCCCCCTCATGGTGTTGTCTGTTAGCTCGTAGGACGTCATGTATGGTCGTTGTTGTGGCGGCTGTCGTTGTTGTGGGGTTTTTTTTTTTATCATGTGTTGGGTTGTGGTAGTCCTGGTTGATTGGTTTCATGATTAGGTGTGTGTGTGTGTGTGTGTGTGTGTGTGTGTGTGTGTGTGTGTGTGTGTGTGTGTGTGTGTGTGTGTGTGTGTGTGTGTGTGTGTGTGTGTTATAAGACTCTATCATCCACCTGCAACTCGTCTCTGGGCTTGGTAGTGCAAGTTGTCTGGGCTAAGGATCACTACATATATGAACACTATTACCAGATAGAGTTGGATTCCTCATGTAGGGAGTTGGCATCACTGTTGGCTCTTCATTTCTCCTGTTGGGGTTTCCTTCCTAGTGTGGCGGCCATGATGGGTGGAGACTGTGGTGGTGAGGGTGGTGGTGGTGAGGGAGGAGGGGTGGTGGTGAGGGAGATGTGGAGGGGTGGTGATGGTGAGGGTGGTGGTGGTGGTGGTGAGGGAGGTGGTTGGGGAGAGATGTGGAGGGTGGTGATGGTGAGGGAGGTATGGAAGGGGTGGTGGTGTGGGAGGTGGTGGTGGTGAGGGTGGTGGTGATGGTGAGGGAGTTATGGAGGGGTGGTGGTGATGGTGAGGGGAGGTATGGAGGGGGTGGTGGTGAGGGAGTTATGGAGGGGGTGGTGGTGATGGTGAGGGTATGGAGGGTGGTGGTGGTGGGGAGTTATGGAGGGGGTGGTGGGAGGTGGTGGTGAGGAGGAGGGGTGGTGGTGAGGAGATGTGGAGGGTGGGGATGGTGAGGAGATGTGGAGGGTGGTGGTGATGGTGGGGAGGTATGGAAGGTGGTGGTGGTGTGGGGAGGTGGTGGTGGTGGTGGGGGATGTGGAGGGTGGTGGTGAGGTGGTGGTGGTGGTGGGGGGTTGTGGAGGGGTGGTGATGGTGGGGGAGGTATGGAAGGGGGTGGTGGTGTGGGAGGTGGTGGTGGTGAGGGAGGTATGGAAGGGGTGGTGGTGTGGGAGGTGGTGGTGGTGAGGGAGGTGGTGGTGATGGTGAGTTATGGAGGTGGTGGTGATGGTGAGGTATGGAGGTGGTGGTGTGGGAGGTGGTGGTGAGGAGGATGGGGTGGTGGTGATGGTGAGGGTGGAGGGGTGGTGGTGATGGTGAGGGAGTTATGGAGGGGTGGTGGTGGTGGTGAGTGGAGGTGGTGGTGATGGTGGGGTATGGAGGTGGTGGTGATGGTGGGGAGGTATGGAAGGGTGGTGGTGGTGAGGGAGTTATGGAGGGTGGTGATGGTGAGTGTGGAGGGTGGTGATGGTGAGGGAGGTATGGAAGGGGGTGTGGTGTGGGAGGTGGTGGTGATGGTGAGGGATGGAGGTGGTGGTGATGGTGAGGTATGGAGGGGTGGGTGGTGGGGGAGTTATGGAGGTGGTGGTGGTGGGGAGGAGGGTGGTGGTGGTGAGGGAGTTATGGAGGTGGTGATGGGTGAGGGAGGTATGGAGGGTGGTGGTGGTGAGGGAGTTATGGAGGGGTGGTGGTGATGGTGAGGGAGGTATGGAGGGGTGGTGGTGAGGGAGATGGTGGTGAGGGAGTAGGGGTGGTGGTGAGGGAGATGTGGAGGGGTGGTGATGGTGATGAGGCAGGCATCACGGGTGGTGATGGTGATGAAGGTAGTGTCGGAGGTAGGTCCTGGCTGGTGGTGGTGGTGGTGGTGGTGGAGATAGGCCCTAGTTTGTGGTGTTGGTGGTGATGCTCGGTGAGAAGGAGGAGGGGACAGCCTGACGGACAGTAGTTGAGTTGGGTCAGCTCAGTTGAGTGGTGGTGTGTGGAGAGAACACATCGTCATCATGGCTGGTAGGTGGCGCCACTGTTGTCTCTCACTGCAGCGACCAGGACATCTCTCACCCCCTAGCTGAGACACTCGGGGAAGGAGAGATGACGGGGAGAGATAACGAGGTAGAGGAGATAACGAGGGAGGGGAGACAGCCAGGGAAGGGAGACAGCCGGGGAGAGATAACGAGGGTAGGGAGACAGACAGGGGAGAGATAACGAGGAGACAGCCGGGGAGAGATAACAGGGTAGGGAGACAAGGGAGGTGAGGAGAGGAGACAGCCGGGGAGAGATAACGAGGAGGAGACAGCCAGGGGAAGGGAGACAGCCGGGGAGAGATAACGAGGGTAGGGAGACAGCCGGGGAGAGATAACGAGGGATGGGAGACAGCCGGGGAGAGATAACGAGGGTAGGGAGACAGCCGGGGAGAGATAACGAGGAAGGGGAGAAAAGACAGCCGGCGAGGAGAGATAACGGGGGGAGGGAGAATGCCGGGAGGAAAGATGGCGGGGAGAAGTAACATCTGGGGAGGAGAAATGGCAGGGAGAGAAGAGAACCTAGGACATAGCAGGTGTGTGTGTGTGGTGGGGAGGAGGTAACAGGTGTGAAGGCAGGGCAGGTGTGTGGTACGGATTGATTTTTTTATTTTGCCGCTTACAGCGGCTACTTTATTGTGCACCTCACACTCATCCTGTGAGCGGTAGCGGAAAAGATTACAGAGTATGGTTTACAACGGGTCATAATAATTAACTCCCGTTGTCAGGATATTATGGCACTGAATGTTACACAGTATTTCAATTACATTATTTGTTTAGTTCTATACATAAAGGGTAACTTATTCACAAATGCGTGAGTACAGGTGTCATGGTTTTAGGTGGGTCGGTGGTAGTAGGAGTGTATTATATTATATAAAGATTATAATATGTCGTATTTCTTATTTCTTACCGTAGAGTTCGATACCTTCACACTGGTTACTTACAGGAGATTATGATGTATCTACGTAGAAGTTCACTCCACCACTCGACATTCCATGATTTATACTTGATAAATGATGATTTAATGAATTCATTTAATTTTCAACATCCATCTAAGTTATTGGTTATACTTTGTCATAACCAATCCGTCATTACCTTTAGTAATAATAAGATAGGATCACAGGTACGGGCAGATAATTGCACTTATATTTATTTGTCAAGCTTCCATACAATGATTTACAATTTGCATGGATATTAGTCACACATTCACGCTGTAGTAAAATTAATCTTCTAAAACAGGGAATTTCCAACTTGGGGACACATGTGATTACTCTACTGTGGGTATGACTTAACAGAGCCTTAATTCTTCAAGTGATTCATTTACTGCCAGCCTGGATTGCTTTGTTACAACCAGGCTTCATCACAAGAACTTCTTTCCACGGCCATAACAACAAAAAGTACTCTTGGGTTACCACACATAGTCTCGCGTTACTGACAGTCAATGTAGACAGGTGTCGTGCAGGAGAACTGGTAAGATTGACTTGAATTAACCATTTAGTTGCAATAGACCAGCCTGGATTGCTTCTGTCGCAACCAGGCTTCCACACGTGATATTTCCACGGGGATAACAAACCTAGGTTAACACACTTAGTCTCGTGTCGATCACGGTCACTGTAGACGGGTGTCGTGCAGGAGAACTCTGTAAGCGTGAATTAATTAACCATTTACTGTAGGTTTGATAGGCCAGCCTGGATTGCTCTTGTTGCAACCAGGCACCCACACGTGATGTGGAGTGAGGTTTTTGGGTGTGAAGCGATGAACAGTACAACACTGTTTCACTGCCCACCCCCCTAAAGGCTGGCTAACATAGACTAATTGAAATACATGTCCCAGTTATGCCTCGCCGGGTGTCTTATCTCTAGTAAAACAAACTTTGGAGTTGGTTGCGTGGGTAAGCCTAACGCAACCAATTACAACAGGTTTGTGAGGCAGTATGTCTGGCCTCACACTTTGTTATTCACATTTACGTGAGAAGTATTCAAGCACATTGCGTATTTGGTTCTGTACATGAGAACTGATATAGTTACTATGTGCAAAAAAGTGGATACAATCTTAATATGTCGGCTATCTTGCCATTAGAGATGAAGTGTTGTGCCATTTCACACACAGTGTGCTTGGACCTGTCCCTAAAAGGTTCTATCTTCACACAGTCGAGGACGTAGTGTTCAAGTGTGTGGCCATATGTCTATCCACACACTTTACATTTAGTCTTGTTTACATCTGCTTGAGGAACATACTGCCAAAGGTACTTATATTTCTTTCTTTAAGAGAATTAGCCCACCCGGGCACGGGTCATTTTTAATGACCCACATCAAGGCCCAGGGGGCGAAAATATAATAAAACAACAATAATAATAATAATAATTATGCCAATGATGATGATAATGGTAATAATAATAATACTAGTAATAAAATTGATATAAACATATTTAACAAAATAACAATTATAATAAAAGAAAATAATAATAATAATAAAATTAATAACAATATTTAAAAAATAATAATTATAATAAAAGAAAATACACATACAGTAATAATAAAGGTCTATAAAAATTATAAATAATAATAATAATAATAATAATAATGATAATAATAATAATAATACCCCCTGTACTTATATCCTAACCTTAATCTAGCGGTTACATCATCTTGTAATCTAGTGATCTTGTTACTTGCTCCATATACATGTTTCACTTAATACATCTCATCATGGTAAACTATGGATCGACTAGTGCCTGTTTGCACAAGTCTACTTGCGTCAAACTCATCAATAAGTTCTTTCCAAATTACAGTCTTAAGGGTTCTTTTTGACAGACCCAAATTGTATTCAACGGTGTCTTTGTAAGACGCGAGTTTGGCGAGGGCATCAACTCTGTCATGTTTTATAAGGCCTATGTGAGAGGGGATCCACAACAGTTTGACCTTGACACACCGGTCAACAAGGCACGCATATTTGTGTCTGGCTTCAGAGACAAGAGTGTGACAACCTGAGTCGAGGGTGTCAAGGGCAAGTAGTGAGGACAGAGAGTCAGTGATGATGAGACTCA